AACCCTTTGAAACGTACCGAATGTTCTAAGTAGAAAGGAGTAAACATATCCATTGAAGAAAATATAGTGTACGAAGATCCTAAAGTTATTACGGATCTACATAGCGAACACTTTCACACCTCGTCAATGGACGAAAACCCCTTAGGTGATACAGAGTCTATCCCAACGCCTTCCTGAAAAATCACTGGTGCACAATTCAATGTACAGTTTGTCTTCATGGAAATTAAGGCTTACCCACACTAAAGGGTTGGATGACATACTGGCTGACATCTCAAAAGTGGATATGGTGTTTTGTGAACTATGCTATCAAACTATTTCCAGTATTATTCTCTGCAATGCCTTACCCGACTAACTGGAAAACTATACATATTATTCCCGAAATGAAGTCCCAACCTGCAGCAAACATCGGAAATTAACGCCCGTAGACATGATCACAATGGTATATACAATGGGGGAAAAAGGTAATTAAGCTGGTGTTAGTTCAACATCCAATAATTAATAATTACCTCATCTAGAAACCTCAGTATGGATTTCTGAGGTGATGATTTCGTGTTTACTAAAGTCTAGAAATACCTGAGAATTTTGTACCATAATTGACACTGTTTGGAATAGCATACCTTTCGTTTGTCTTCTGTGTTCTCATTCGTGTCCTGGATGTTCCTAGCATTCGAAAGCTCAAGCAGTTTGTGGTTTATTAATAATCCAAGCTCTGGATATAGCAGTCATGCTATACATGTCCGGCATACTGCCTGGATGATACAGGCCCCTTGTGTCAATTTTATTTTTAGACGTTGAGAAAGCTTTCGATAAAGCTCTACAAAAAGTACCTCTTGTCAAATTAATGTCCTTCGGAATCATTCCCAACAGGACGTAAATGAATAGTAAAGCACAACAACTCTCGCCGCCAAGACAAATAAGTAGTGGAGTTGTTCAGAGAGGTGTATCATGTCCACTCTTGTTTCATACGTATATAAAAGATACATGTAAAATTGTGAAGTTTGGGAGGCTGCACTTATACACTGATACTCTGAAAATAGCATGCAGCCTTAAGCCTCAAGATTTATGTGAATGTGTATCACAGATTTAAAGTGACCTCGATAACCTATCTATTTGGAGCGAAAGGAAGCAGTCGCGATTTAACTACAACAAGTGTGGGATCACGCAATTTGAGAAACATCCTCTGAACTACTAATTTATTTCAGTAAATGTAAAGTTAAAACATTCAAATTTGTGCACGATCTAGGTATTTATTACACAGGAGACCCAAAACTTAGAGAGCCAATAAGTTTCGTAATGAAGAACTTCTTCATAGTACAGGCTAATCTTACCCGTTCCAAAATACTTATACCATCCCACTTGAATGTTTCTCAGTTATCTTATCATACATGAATACCACAGACAACATGAGAGTGGGAGTTGTCAAAAGACGCTTCATAAGTCGACTGCAAATGTGTGGTCTAGTTCACAATTAGTACTGCTATAATAATAATAATTTATTCTCAAATAAAAGTTTGTTACATGAGGCATGCCGGTTTACAGGCAAGATCAAATTGTTACAGAAGTTACAATTTTCACTGTAGAAAATTATTCAGCTGGGTTGATTTTTCATAAGATATGAATGTAAATGGATTTCGTAAGGAACATGTCAATATCACACTTGGCGCACTTTATGGAGGTAGCGTTGCAACATACAACTGATGGTCGAGAATAGACACATGCGAAAATGAGGGCTTTCAGGAGTTTCGAACTTATATCCCTTCAGAATATCTAAAGCTTTAATAACGGTGTAGGACGAAGTCACCCGTGCCATATGTGTTTTCGGTGGAGTATCTGCATGCAGATACTCCAGCCTCCTGCAGGAGGCTGAAAAAGGTGTAAGAAAAAGGAGGGACGAAAAGCAGAGCACACAATATTCATGGAGGAATAGTTAAGGTATAACCATTTAGTCTATTTGACTGTTGCTGAAGTACTCATTAGATAAGAACATACTAATGTGTTAAAGAAAAATAAGTGTGAACAAGGTATGAGTGGATAAGGAACTGTATAAATGAAGGTAGTTCAGAAGGAGGTATGGAATTGTGTAATTATAAAATGAAATGCTGAAAACAGTATTCCGATACAAACGACTGTCTCCCTTTACTTTAGAAGCTGTTTGAACTCTCTTTTTTTGTTTTAGATTTTATAGGATATAGAGTGGGCTTCGTTTTTAGACAATTGTCTAGTTTGCTTGTGATAGGATTACTCGATAGGAAGTGGAACCAATTCAGCTTTTTTAACATGATTTAAAGTGGTATTTTGCATGAATAATTTCTCATCAATACCGTTGGTTCGTGACATCCCACTGGACATAATTAGCCGTAATCAATATGTTCTGCCCCACAGACACTGGTGGATTGAGGTTATCTCCCCACCATCATGTTTGCTGGTCAGTAACGCCACCCTCCCTCCTTTTATGATGTAAGGCCCTCTTACGTTTGTGGTCGGTATGAATATTGCTTTAATCAAGGACCACAGTTGGAATTCACTGTCTCTACAAGTTCCATGTTACAAGCAAATCAGATGGTAATAGCATTTGTATTATGGGTTAGATATCCATTTAATATATCGTGCCGCTATGAAGACAACTAATGGTAAAGGTTATGAGAGACAAGTTAGATTATATGTGGTTAAGAGATGGTAAGGGCTAATAGAAAACCAGAGGATATGAAAGAGAATAATAGTGGACCTAATCCTAAAATCGTAGATTTATCATGATGTGAATACCTAATCTATGAAATATTTCGTGGAGGTTTCATCACTGTCTATACCGGCTCATCCTAACGTGGTCTTTAGGAGTATAATGTTCAGTGCTTCTGAAGAACAAATTTAGGCTGAAGATGGAATACTATACGTAATGTGCGTAAAGGTAAGTTATAGAGAATGACCACATCTGTGAGGCTGAGTCATGCCGTCCGACCCAATGAATGAACAATTCCCGCGTTCGCTGTTGTTGGCCCTGTCTCTGTGTTAAATGTTGAATGTTCCCAACTATAACATGCTCAGCTTTGAGGATTGTGTGGTTAGAACATATGCCACTTCACATTCCTAATGATATATGCAACACATGTCGTCGAAACTGCACCGAAGGGCACGACTGGTGTGTCGGAAACTGCGAAATCCAAATAGGCATGTATCTCAGTGCCTGGACATGGTTTACTCTGGTGTGGTGGAGGGAGAGCACTTGAACACGTAAACCACCTTTCAATCCACTGTACTCACTTTCACTAAGTCTAGTAGTGGTTTAGAAGCTGGAATACATGAAACTAATCTCCAAAGGTGACAGTCTCACTGATCGTTTGAGCTGCCGGCCAACAAGATTTGTCCAAGTATACTGAAGGCTGATAAAATATCTCATTTGTGATGGTCTACACAATCCTACCTCGCCCTGTTGGTATGGTTTCGCTCAATGTCACTTCTGCATAACGCGTCTGTTGACTGCTATAGATAAACAAGCAATTATCTTTGACCAGAAGAGCAAAGTAGATGCAATGCGAACTGATATCGTGTACGCTTTAAACAGGTTTGACCTCACTTGCCTCATAAATAAGTTCAGACCAACAGACATTCAGCCTCCACTAATAGACTGGTTTTAGCTACATCTGAACAATTTGGTTTTTGAAGTGAAAATGTGTTGTTGAACATTACAAGCTACGGAGTCCTAAGGCTGAATGCTAGAATCTCTTCCCTTTTTGATTAGCATACGTGATCAGCAAGAACAATTACTTCATGAAATACTCCTCCTGGCTGAAAATTTCAGGCTTTGTATGAAACTTTCCAAGTGGATTGACAGTTTAGGAAATCTGAGTTGGTTTTATAGCCTGGGGAATAATAGAGCGTAAGCAATCTATCTGTGACATGTCACAAACCATTTATGATACTTCTACGGTTCCTATCTAGAAGTGTCTCAGTTTCGAAAAGATCTATATATCATAGTAACTAATGATCTTAAGTCCTGCGCTAAGCCTGACTAAGGGGCTTTTAGAACGTCAGTAAATGTCAAGTTAATGTTAAGCCATTTCAATTGTCCTAAGTTTCATTTACATCTTAAAAGGTTCATTACGCCATGATCAATTACTATTAATCATATCGAAGCAGCGAGTGAGCTCAAAGATACCAATATTTTTATACAAGCTGTTGACAAAAATATTGAATATCAAATATTGCATTTGATCCCATTTACGTTACGAAAACAGTACTTCCTCTTTCGCACCAAAAAGACAAAGGTATCCTGGTCGGTAAACGAAAATTTAAATATTTGCTCTAAACGCAAAATATGAGCCAACAAAATCAAGATTTCTGTAATTCACTCAAACTACTGAGTAGTTTTTCATAGGATACAAAACTTCTACAATTCACCGACAATCAGTGGCTATATCCAAATGAATACTTTGTGTGTCATTCATATGGCGTAATATTACTTTAGCAAATTTTATCAAAAGGCTCGAAACACCTAGACATTGAGCTCGCCCGCTGTGCTAAAAATAACAGAACGGGAAGAAAAATTCGATAGACAGTGATACTTTCAAATGAAGCGTTCAAGCGGTTACACATAGATCGCACTCGAATTGAACCAGCAAACCACTTTAGGATCTATATCCACCGAACTGTGAACATTACAAAATCAAGCGTTTAATAACATGCAGCATCATAGATACTAGTGGAATCCTCTAAAATATCTGCATGAGAGAATTCTCAGAAACTTGTAAAGTGACGCTAACTCAATTAGTGATGCGATCGAAGCCCGTTAGCCACCTAGTTATATAAAAGGACTTATAATCCGAGTGTATATGCCAGATGCAACATAGAACAGATACCTAACATATGTTCTCAACCACTTTTTATGAAAAACAACATCGAAATACAAAAACTTTTGACGATGTAAATCATTTTGAGAATTCAAACTATTCAAAGTTTCGTATGTAGAAGAGCTGTTAATCTTTCGATACTCTTTGTGACCTTCCGGACTTTTGAAATGCTTATATGTTTTCGTCTGGTATCATCAAGAATTAGGTGTAGTTACTCTGGGAAAAGGTTGGTTTAACCCGTATAAGTTGGTTAGTTAGGTTAATATGTATAACTGAGTTTAAGTGCTCCTACTTTGCTCCTCCACATATCTTTGAGAATAATGTGTTAGTTGACAGTATTTTATACTACATCTAGTATTTTCAACTCGTAAATCTGTCTGGATTTAAGGATCATCGGTAAGAGCGTCAAAATGTTATCTCTGGCTATATTTGATGAACACCACCTTTAGAAATAATTGCTAAGGGGATAGTGAATTATTTTGTAGATAAACGTACGTTGTCTCATCAAAAATATGTTATGGCTAAATGTATCTGTAATGGATAATTACTATCAATAAAAGGGTTAAATTTTGACTGAAATTAAAAGGCATTTGAGTTAGAATAACTTGTTATAATAGCTTCCCCAGCTTCTCAAACACCCCTCTGAAAATTAGGTGGTCAGATTTTATTTCTATGCACAAAGCTAGCACATATTCACCAAAAAGCCTCATTTTAACTTTCGTTTGTTTGAGTTTTAATGGATAAAGCGTCTCATGGGCTCATCTGACGAGCCCTAAGTGACTGTTGATAACCAACCTTAATTTTCAACAAGACTGTCTGATAGCACCGAGGTTCAATTGCATAAACGTAGATCTGAACACCAGTCTTACTTTGATCGTCCTAGCTGATGGAGCCTATTAAAAGTTCAGCAATCTTAAGCTCACGTCAAATACAATTTTGAAAAGGTAAGAAAAGCACTAGAACATTCTACTACTTAAATGAGCATAGATACTAAGGAAATTTTCCATGTCATTTGGTTCACAGTTCTTTACTTTGAATACTCACTTTATATTAGATGCAAACATACAGAGCAGTTATCTTAAGCCAAGTTAGTGCATCATGTCTTTCTTGATAGATGAGAATTCTGAGTATAATGCATTATAACTGATGGGATAACTGCAGATTTATGTGTTAAGTGATTAGATGACTGATGGGTTCATGTATTTCAAGTTTTCGTGAGTTACAGGGATTTTTGTTTTGGCAATTCAACTCGATAGTACACAAGTGGTGTGCATCATTTACGTCGTTGTGAAGATTTTTAAAAGTGGATGTAAGACACTACTGTTTGAATTTAACCGATCATCTATTTGCCCCAATATTTAAGAATAATGTAAGCTAGGCTTCTCAAAGTAAACTGGGTAAGTCACTTGGTCTTGGGCTTCGTCCTTAACACAACTAAACATCACTGTAGTCACGGTTGTTACTACTGCGGTTTATCAGTGAAAAATACTTTCATAGACCGGACTAGAGTTCTTTGTTTTTTTCATTCGTGTGGTTCGTGTCATTACAGTCAAAAGCAGAACAAATGGAGACTCGTTTTTGAACTAACAAAAACGTATTGTTTGTAAACATTTTCACCATAGGATTTTTGTTTGAAGTGATATGTAGTAGAGGAGTTTTATTTTATTTTCTAAACTATCCTTCTACTTCCACAAATGTTTGTCATTCTGAGTAAATTACTTGTATCTGTCAGGTATTTAAATCATTTTCGTTGGATACATTCACACCTAAACTTTTGGTTTCACTAATCAAGATTCTTGTAGATACCCAGCCTTTAAAATTAGAACACATTATTTGTAGTTGATTTACTAAAGGTTTAACGCGCTGTTACCGACATTTGTTCCCTTCACATATCCTAAAGTTAGGTTTGATTTACAAACCTGGTGATCTAACATTGATCGGTTCATTATTTCAGTGTAACTCAACAATCTCCACAACCCTATACTGATTTTCTATAGTTGTTTACTGCATTTTTTGAAGATAAATCCTACTTTACTTACATAGTAATGTATGATCTGTCGAGTAAATATGCGAACGTTCGCAATGCTCATCATGAGTTTCTGCAAGGGATTGTGTGAGTTATACGAGACCAGATTTATGTGGTCTTAATTGATAGTTTCTGTATCATAGAAATGTATTCGCACCAGAATGCTTCATCTCGTTGCTACCAGGAAGAAGTGTGCTAATACCAGCTCTGTAATACCGGTCATTTTAATTGGGCTTCTGTCATTTTGGCTTTTAGATCTAAGTTAACCATGTATATATATATATCACAACCATCGAAGTGACTGTTTCTATGAATTTGGTATTTCTCTTGTTGTGCTAATGAGTTATGGCAACTTGGACCGATGTATGTATGTACCTGATCCTATATTGCAGATGACTGATTGGTATTATTAGGTATTTATTAAACTAGCTACCTTTGTGCTTAGATAATGAACTTATACGTGAAGTGTGATCTGAACAAGCATCATTCTTGTTAATACTAACCATCGATGAATTATGTCCTTGATGTTTCACCTGTTGATTTGCGTTTGCAATAATATTCTCGAATGTGCTTTGACAGCAGTAATGTATAAACATAGGAAACAAAGTTAAAATCTTTGACCCAATCTATCTGATAAAAGTCCGAACTTATTCAGGCAACTTAAATGAACCTCAGTTGAGATAGCCTTATTAGCTCTCTTCTGGTGTTTAAAAAAGGGTGATAAGATTGTTATAAACTAAAGCGTGGTGTTGGTAAATTAAAAATTGAACCATGCAAGACAAATAGCTCTTTCGGCTGGAAAAAGTTGTGAATGATAAACGAAATGTTGCTAAAATATTTACACAAATTAAACAGCGTTTTTGATTAAATGTGAAAACTCCGAAACTAGTTCTTATTAACAGATACAGAATCGTTTTATACTCATCCAAATAAGTAGTGTGTATGTGTTGAAATACTTCATTTCAACGGAATAGTTGTGACATAATCAGTAACTTGTAGATCAGATTGCTAGTAACTACACAATTTTGTTGTTGGTATACAAGTTCGAGAAGTATTTCGAGAGTTTGAACGAAGGGCTATGACCTTCGAAGTTTGAAAGCGTCGATCATGAGATGGCTATCATCAATGTCATTGGGGGGTGATCACGGCATCTGACGAAGTAACGGACATTGGAAAATTGAATTGTTGGATGATATTTCAGTGGTCTGAAGGTAATGAACTCACCTCAAGCCTTTGATATCCTGTGTTGGATAACTGGCTATTTTGTAAGTGAGCACTGCTGGAAATTCCAACAATAGAACAGGAAAGCCGTTCAGTGCTCCATGGTTTCCTGAAGCTATTTGTGGCGCAAAATCAAAATTGATCTATCCTTACTACCATTCGTACCAACAATAATCAGTGGTACATTTTCATGATTCGTCTTTCGCTGTAGGAAATTCGCGAATAAGTGGGACGTGTTGATGAAATTCTTTTGTTCTTCAGAGATGAAACGGCCAAGGTCCAAACTGAATGACAGACAAATACACTAGAATTGTGCATTCTTATAAATGGATGGTATTTGCATTTCATTTGGCATATTGTTACAAATATAAGAATAGTTGTTGTGTTGGGTCACTTCTGATTGCCATCGATTGAGCTTTTGCTAGTTCTGATCGGTTCTTCATATTAATAGTATAACTGAGATGGAGTTCCTGGAAAGAAATCTTAATCAAAATAGATGAAGGTCAATATATATTACTCTCATTTTCAAAGCGTTGTTTTATCACACGTCTTGTAGTAAGGGGTTAATTAGTGTTGTGGTTCCATTGCAATATCAGTCATAGCTTGCGTACGTGAAAAGTTTAATAAACTGATATAAAAAACCATATGTTACAACGAATAGTATTAATATGAATCCATCATTAGGACTTGATAGAGAAATATAACAGAACAGCGTAAGTACATTCCTAGCTGTTAACATATAAGAGTATTTGAGTGCGTGTACAAAGTGGTGAGTAGAAAATATTTATCTGATAGTACCTAGCATCAGATTTAAATATTTAGGCTTACAGCTTAAAAAATAACTACTGGAGTCTATTTAATGAGTGTTTAAGATTTCTTCTACTTCACTCGAATAACTAACACGAATGCTATATCAGACAAACTAAGACGGGGTATTAAGGGTTATTTTACCATTTAGTAAGGCGAAGGATTCCGAACCCTTAATTTAGGATGCCGTGTAACTAAACTATAAGGTGACTATAATGTTTATCATGACTTCTCCTGTCTTAATGTCCTGACGATTCAAACAGCTCGAAATAAGCCATATAATCTAGTTGTAATGTGTTGATTTACCTAAATCTTGATACGGAATCACTAGTCCTAGTATTAAGATCATTCATTGTAAAACGTCGTCATAGACGACAACGTTGAATAACTAATTGCTTGATATTTGTTCGAAACCCTGCTAAACTATTTATTTATTAACAATTCAGATCGCTTTTTTTATCATCGATAAACTACGCAGATACATCATAAATTGAATAATATACGTCAACTCAACTCGCCCAATAATTATATATATTTATAAATGTTTCGCTTTTCTCAATTAATATTGCTATTGCATTGTGCATTACAAATCTGTGAACAACACCGAGTATGGGAACAAGAACTTAAAATGCCTTTTGTTAATGTTGAACAACAGGATACATATATGTGCGCATATTTTCAACCATCTTTGTTAAACGGAACCACTTTCATCAGAGAAATTCTTCCTAGTGCTAATCGCTCTACTGTACATCATATAATTCTCAAAGGTTGTTCACATCCAGTTACTAAAATTGGTAAACCTACACAATGTGGAATGTGTCAAACAATTATGTATGCATGGGGCTTGGATGCACCTCCTCTGCGCTTTCCATTGGGCGTAGGGTATCCTACAGGATTAAATGCGCTAATTAAAGGATTTGAACTAGAAGTTCATTATCTAAATCCAGTTAAATCCGATCACTCTGGATTAAGACTAATTGTTACTGATCAAATTCAGCCAAGAATAGCTGGTGTATTTCTGTTATTACGAGGTGATGCGATAATACCACCTGGTGTAAAAAGTTTTCCCATTGATGTGTCATGTCGGTAAGTCATTTTAATATTACTCCATTTCTTCGAAGTTTTATATAATAATAGTTTTGCAAACTAACCAATATTAGAATATGGAATAGAAATTGTAAAGCAATAAATAGTTGTTATCTAAACAACAGCATGAGATAGTTAAAGTGTTAAAAAAACAATTCAAGTGGGGAAAAATTCCTTTGTTATATTTTTATTTATTGCATAAACTTCACAGAAAGTAGAAAATACAGTTTCCTGAATGATGTCATGAGAAATCAATCTTGGATTGACTTATTTATAAAGCGACAGATATATGCTTGTACCTTTATAAAACTCAACAAGAGGTACAAATTTAAATGTTTCGGCTTATCACTGTCTCATTCAAATACAAGAAATGTCCTAATCCCTACAAATACCACAGACTAATTATCTTTAACTTTTTCTGTTTAATAGGTAGAATTTTTTATAATCTTAACTCATTTTGGTAAAAGCTAAATTATTTGACAGGAAACTGAACTCTTTTTACAATAGTCACTTACAATGCGTTTAGTGTTCATAAATGTTTCGCCAAGCATGGACAGTTTAATTTCCATAAAAGTTTTATTACAATACTCAAGCGCTGAATATTACTATTTTCTGTTTTCCATCAAAGTAAAATGTTCGAAAGAAATAACGATAGAAACCACTGGTATCTAAATCCTCATATTCAGGGTATTTATCAGAAATAAACAAGTTAACGAACTCTTTTCAACCTTTCTGGTCTTAATACTGTAATTAACTTATTTTATTTTATTAGTTTTGATTATAAGATACTGATATAAACATGGGTTTGAGTTGTAACATTCTGTAAATGAATACATAGAAAAATATTGGTTTAATACATAATCAAACATATCAGTGTGAAGTTATGATGTCGAATTTTGATAACTACTGTCTTCAAACTCAACTAATCTCTATAAATCTCGTTACCTGGGTTAACTATGTGCCGTTATGTCTACTAAGAGAACAAGGTTATAATGTGCCACCATGTGGACACATTTTATTACATAGAAAGACAATAGAAACAATGCAGCAAATACTACACAAAGTATATTATAAGGTTGATCTCTGTTTACTGTTAAATAAGTGATGGAGTAATATAAGTGTTTGCTGAAGAATGATTCACCAACCGAATGTTCCATACAAAAATTATGATCCACTATTTATGTTTCTGTTATAATCTGTTTTTCAAGCGCGGCATATTTTAAATACCAAGTGTCCTTTCTGAATTTAGTTATGGAATAATAAGTTTAGTGTTTATATTGTTTGTCAAATAAAGTATCAAAAGAAAAGGTGTTTTCCAACTTAGATGACCATGAGGGCTAATCACATGTTGAAATAATGTCGATAAAATTTGTCTTAGATTTTTACGACAATATATCAGCAAATTTTCGTATCAAAGAAAACGTTTAGCCAACAAACTTGTCACGAATTTTCTAGGTAGTCTATTTACTAATGGTGAAATCTTTATTTACACTCAAAACAAGAAGTTTCGGATACAAAAAGTGAAACCAGTCCAGAAGTGGTTCTGTTTCAAAAACTAAAGAAAGCCTAACTAGTTGTTTTAGTACAGAAAAGAGGTTCTAGACAAGTGTTTTACGGCGATGATGATTCTTAGAACACTGTTTTTGTGCCTGGTAGGAATTTATTGCTTCAGTAAGTTTACTTTAATCCAGTTATTGTGAATTATGACATCCACTGATGCAAAAATATTGAATTCAAAGCATAGAAACAAATGAATTGGTTTAATTTGGCAAATTTTTAAATAGGAAAAAAGTTAAAATATAAAACCACAAAAGACGTGGGTGAACTGACAATGAATAGATATTTAGTTACAAAATATTCAGAATTTATAAAAGTTTGATGTGCATAATAAATACACGCTAATGTGATCCATTTTGAGCTGTGCTACCTAAGTCATTTCAATCCTATCAAAATGCCTACATTTACACCGATGGACCAGTATTACGAAATTTCATTTGAAAAAAATATATGCATCCCTAGAAATGTAACAAATTAAGTATATTGTAGAAAATTTTATGACTAAAATATTGCTGTCGGAATGTTTTAGGACATCAATAAGTGACAACTTGAGTTCAGGAAAAAGTCAAACAAAAATGAATTGTTTGTTAACTTGAAAACAAGCTGACGTCAAGATTGAAACCGGAATTTTTTTTCTCACAGAAGTTTAAACGCAAAACCAGAAAGACTACAGAAATAATCATAACCCCAACTCAAAATATTTATCATTATGTCATAATTAAATTAAAGAAAAATTGTGTATACACATCTTTATCATTCATATTCTAAGATTGACCAGAAAGAGACAATTTTTCCTGCTAGTGAGTTTTAGTTTCAAAAGTTGTGAAGGCAATGTTGATAAAATTCTAGACTTCATCATTCATGTGTCAGTAATTGAAAGTCATTCTTGGGTGCTTTCACTAAGATACTGGGGGTCATTGTCTGCAAACAATAGTAGTATTATCACTGCGAAATGACTCGGCAGTGTTAAAAGTTATGATGAGCTAAGAGGTGAGACCTTATTGATTAACGTTCGCATGTGGCATTCTGGTTTCTGTTAATATTCAGTCATGATATAAATGTCCTTCTAGAGGCTGATGTTGAGGATTTCAAAACTTCTGGAGTTTATTTAAACATCTGTGATCTATCTTGGCTAAACAGAAACTATGATATAAAAAGCGGAATTACCCTTAAAGTAGTGACTGCTTTAAATGTAACAGGTGTCTCACGGTTCTAATTAACTGATCTCCAAGGAAATCCTCAAACATCTACATAAAAGTCTATTAATATGGATTCAGACAATCGGATTACTTCAGCTAAATAAGTTTGATACTTGTTTCAAATGATAAATGTTGGGGGCTTGTGTTATACTGACCCGATTAATGAGACAAATTAATCGTTTGTATAGATAATATTCATGTATCCATAATTTACGGAGTATCTGATTAGATTTATTGGCACTATAAGTGTTAAGTAGATTGATATTTTTGTTGCAGATTAAAGATCTTCCTGCGAAAGGTCCGTTAACCTCAGATAAGTCTAATGACAATCATGAGACTTTTAAAAACTGTAGTGTGAAATTCTCATTTTATTCTGAAACTATATATTTCATTCCTTATCTTCTGTCTCAATACAAAAAAGGAAAACATTTAAAAATTCGCATTATCCACACTGCCTATAGTGTTTCGTTTGCAATACTTTGTTTGGTATTTTGATATACAACCCAACTAATTTCATTTAATCAATGTGGTATCTACAATTACTAACACAAATTATTTGACTGAATATAGTCATAAAATGAGTTTTCCTGTGAATTGTAAACAAGCTAATTATGAATATGTTCAAGAGTGACATGATAGTTTTACTAGGTAAACAATATAATTTGTAATTGTATGGATGATTCACTATTTATAATTTATCCAGATGGACAAATAATTATTTTGTTTGACTATGAAGAGGCTTCAATTGAGTTTGCGTGAGCTTGTTCACGTTGATAGATATATTAACTGTCTGAGTGTAATTCTGACTAAATTATGGATGAAGGCAGGGGAAAGTAAGGTTTGGAAATTTCAAATAACTGTGGCCATAATTGTATTCGGAGGCCTACCTGAATATCTGGGATACCTGTACTTGCCTTTTGTTTGTTTTAACACATCATTATGTCTATTAATCGCATAACCTATTAGGGTGAGTTTATAAGAAGTTTGCGATCTTTTGCCGTACAACTTACAAAAAAGTACAATCAGAGACATTGTAATAGATATTAATATGCACTGTAAAGAATGATCATTGTTCATATGCTGATTACTGAACTGCTAATGTGGTGTGGGTTACTTATATCCACATAAGTAGTATATAGTGATGGTCAGGCATAGAATGTATTTTGGCAGAAGATCGATAAGGAAAGAATAGAAATGAAGCGCAATCGGTGTGATAATGCGTGAACAATAAAATCAGAGAAGATGGACTGATATTTGCAAAAGGAACAGTTAAGATTAAGACAATTGTTATTTTGCAAATTAACTATTTATTGTATGGTTATCAGATTTTAGTAACACAGTCTAAGACATTCGATTGTCCCCACCCGTGTCCTGTTCACTGCACTAACATCCAACTGGTAATCATCCAACATTTATCGTCAGGATAGATGAAGAGGTATGGAAAGGAGACTTCTTGAAACGCTTTGTGCTGATGATTCTATATTGTACCAAAAATATAATATTGAGTAAAGCCATTAATAATAATAATAATAATAATAATTGCAATGAAAATCGAAAACTTCATCATTCAACGCATCTTATTCACACTCACTTATGTAAATGTTAGAGAGAAGCAAAATATATAACTCAATAATTTTGTAATAGTTGCTAGTTAAAACAGTTTAATCTAGTGACGTTGCAAATTATATGCATACATTAAGCTATTAATTTATGCCAAGTACCGCCTAGTTCGATGTAGTTAAATATGACTATTGACCAGATGTAGAAATGATGTATCTCATTGTAATTTTTGAGATAGTAACTGATCGATGGTTGGGGCTGCAGTCAATCAGTTGTTGGTGTACATCTGCAGTTTTATTTTCCTTCCTTACATTGACCAGTAATATCACTTGGCCAGTTATACAGAGATAAGTAAGCGGTTGTATCCGAAGTCATAACAAACACACATACCGGTAGCACATGAGCATTTTGACAAGTTACAATAGTAACTCAACTGAACGAGAGAAGCTCTATGTTCGTTTATTAGCTTTCCATTTACTCGACTTCAATACTCTCTAGTTAGTCTATATTTCATTCATTTAGATGTATACAACTGGAAAGTTTGATGTATCTTAGTACAATAATATTAATTGACTGTACTTAATCATTCTTACCTTGAATTTGATACCCGATATCAAAAATGATTATCTGAAAGTCTATGGAGATGAAACTAGTGCTTGAGTAGAAGTTCTAGTCGAGTTTTGATTGTGTTAAGCCCCACTGGATGTGATCTACTGCTACAGAAAGGAGAAAAATTCTCGTATGTTATGGCTATGAAAATTTTAGCTTGTGGCCAATTATCTCGCTGATGTTAAAAGTGATATACCGTAGTGAGAATTCATTCTTAATTTCTGATTTAACCTGCTTGGCAAAGAAAATTACATAACCATTAATTTCGGTACATCAAGCAACTTTGCTTGACTTTGTCAAATCCCGAGAACATATCCGTTTTGCAATATCATCGTAAGTAAAAGATATTTCAAGAGTTTTATTCATACAGAATCACGTTCTCCGGACATTGTTAGTTATTTAGATGATTATTTAAAATGTAGTGTCATTCCCATGAAATTATATATGAAATGAGTTCCACAAAAAGTTGATATTCTTTCTATTATAAGCTACTTTTCAGATATTGAATAGTATTTTTAAGTATAATCACTTAGTATAAAAGAAAATACTGTTTAAAGATACATTCATTAAAAATCTACATGTTCTATTTCAACATCATTTTACGGCAGTCGAAAACAACTATACGTTTTACGAAAAACAAAGCAACAACTAGTCAACAAAAATTTTATATTCCAGACGCTCATCATGAGTAAAGTTATGATTAATAAACTTCAGGCTAGACTAGATTATTAGGTCTAACTCGTAAGCCTATTCCTTTAAAGAAGCAGTAGGCCAAAGGCTCTCAGAATTTTTCGTATGAAAAGTCTTTCATACAACTTAATTGTTTTCATATTAAGCTTATACCTTCAGGCTAATCAATGAAATCAGAAGCTACTGAAAGTAATCTGAAACGGCCACGACAGACTCAAAATAGTTTGGCTTAATCTAATTGTTGATCTACTGTCCTTGATAAAACTGTAACCAATGAACAAGTATTTAAATTTTACAATATCACTTGAACCATTTAAAATGTAGTATACTGAAATCAATATCAACGAAATTCAAAATCAAATTACGAAGCCTCTTGAAAACACTTTAATAAACTAATTTATATGAAGATTGTTGTGAATACAGTATCAAAATAGAACAAAGATGCAAATAAAGTTAAGGGACTAAACACAAACATAGGAAACATATGTATATATATTTAATCATGAAGTTGTGAAGATTGTCGTTTTTGATTGAGATAATGAACCAATCTAAGTTAGACCAACACTGAAAACTTGGAAGCGCCAAACGACCGTTTCGTCCTAGTGTGGGACTCCTCAGCAGTGCTAGTCCACGATCTTGTACGCTAGAATCGAACCCAGGACCTACGATCTCGCCCGTGAACGCTTAACCGTATCTGATTCAAGTCGATTACTCACTGAAGATGATAGAAAATGGTCGCGCATTATCGTCGATTGATTGAGGTTAGAGACTAACACAGTCGGATCCCGACTCAGTGGTCAAGATATTAGGCGTTCGCACTCTTAACCTAAGGTAAGGTCCTTGGTTCGAATCCCACGTGTGGGATCGTGGATATGTACAGCCGAGGAGTCTCGCACTAGGAAAAAACGGCTGTCCAGTGCTTTCAGGTTTTCCATAATGGTCTAACTTCGGTTGCTTCAGTATTTCATTGAAACATTTATACGTCAACGAAGGGAGACGAACTAGATTTGTAGAATAACTTGAATTCATCGCATTTCAAGGCTTCATATATGCTGCAAACTGTGTAAATTTACATTAATAATGTTAACATAACAAGTTTTTGTATACGGTAAACAATGTAGTTTAGTTCGAAACTACACCAGAAAGGAGAAGAGGAACCAAAATATCTAACCTAATAGTCAAGATTGATTAGTATTTATATTTTGAAGATTAAGCCATAAAAATTGGGAGTGATTTTATAAGTGATAATAAGGAAATAATGAATATAATAAACCGCTAACAAATGAGTGATAATCAAAGTCTAGCTGGTATAAATCCAAGTTGACATCATGAACGTATCTCAGTGGATATTTTTGTTATAAAGTACAGTAAGATGATAATTTAGCTGACAGGCATTAAGATAATATAACTATATATATATATATATGCCATCAAACGCCTTTAAACATTCATAATAGCAAAAAGCTAAACGAGCTAAAAATATATGGGTACAAAACAATTAAATGAACGAAGAATATTCTTTTCAATAATTTCTCATCATCATTTAAAATGATATACTTTGACTTAAACCTGGCCAATTTTATGGACTACTAATTCGGATTTATAATTGTAGAATCTAATGAGAACTTATTGAAAAGAATATTCTTCGTTCATATAATTATGCTCTAATATGATGGAAATTTTTCAGCGATATATGGTTACTATGAAACTATGAAAAATACTAAATCTCCACAAAACCCCCCCTGATAATTAATATATGGTTACGTTGTAAATAAACGTAAGTGATGAGCATGAGTAGAATGAGAAGGCTAAGATTATTAAAAATACAATTGTTAAACGAGAAGAGGGTCGAAAATATGACTTAAAGGAACAATTAAATACAAGAAAGAATTGAAAAGGAGCTATGATGTAGTGAAGTAGAACATATGTCACCAACTTAAAAATAGATGGTTTGGGATAAGTCAGAATCGTTTACTGTATTATAAGCTATTCAATAAAAAGATGAACTTTTCCTTTCATGTTAGAATAAATACTTCATAATTTACTAAGCTCTCCACCAATCTATCATTACTAAAAATGTTTTCCCAAAGGAGAACTAACTGACATACATCTGAATAAAAAATCATACTATACGGTTGTTAGTCTTAAAAATAGTTTAAAATAACTGAAAATCTCTCAGCTGTACAAAAATAGTATAGACATTTTTTAACATGACTTTCATATACAAAGCGACAGGCAGAAGCGTTTTTAATGTATTTTCATAAAGTACTTAGGATTTTCGGGGATTACCTTAAAGTGATATGCGGAAAATAGCTACTTAATAACAGAAATTGATAGGTCCCCGAACTGTAATGCAAAAGTAATACAGTGGTTTACAATTAGAGGAACAATAAAAAGTTTAAAATAAGTGGTGGTCAGCCTTCACAGTTGTCCTATTCTAAATCCATTTCTGAAAACAATGTAGTGATTTTCCATACTTTTTTACAGCTAATAATTTTGCATGTGTTGCAGATGTTGACTGAGTTATAAAGGGGCCCTTAAGTTCAAAGCAATCCAGTAAAACATTCAGTATGTAAGGTCTCTTAGTGAGCAGTTGATCACATCTATGATCTGAAAAGTTTAAGTTTAGTAATAAATCACTGTAACAACTTTGTTTTTCTTGAGAGTTTCATCAGTTTTGATCCAACCTTGGGACTGATACAGAAGGTTGACTTTGCTTTGTAAAATTACACTACATGTTATTTGGGGAAGACCTTGGTTATCAAGTATCTCTGAACTACTGATACGGTTAGGATAAGTGCTATTTATATCTGTGCATTATCTTCCTCAACGTGGATTTTGGCTAACATAAAGGTTAGGAAAATGCAAGAAGTTGCTGATTTATGAATTTGCTGGCTGTTGGTGATACAGGGAGATGCAGAATTCTTGGTTAAAATCTAAGAAATGTTCGTGGTTTATGGTTCAGCCATTTAAGTGAAATAGTTTAGAATTTATAGTAGTGACACAAATAATTCCATCTTCTATCCTCAGTAAAAATGCAGATTTTAGTTTTGTGGCACACTTTTCATTACATGATTCCATTCGTTCCTTTTGACCGATTTCCATTGTTTATGATTCGATTGCGAATGATGCTGCTTCTACTGTTATAATTTTCACTATTCATTATTCCGTGATGCTGACTGAGGCTGATGACTGACTGTTTTATTGTGCAGTCAGGCAGCTTTTTTGGGAATCATAAAAATCACACTGGTGTTTGTTGATACCACCAAAATTAATAGTTATCATTTCATAGTCTCTTTATCACAAAACAAGTTACTGTTACGTACTTTCAAAACAATAGTTGCCTGGACAATTTTCTATCTCAATATTAGGTGTGTTGACCTTCTGATAATATTCTTGCAGACATCTTATATTTTTAAAATTCTGCTTTATTACTACATCAATAAACGACACTGAAAATGGTTGTTCTTCATTTTTATCTAGTATTTCATTCACTATCCCAATCACTATAATGGCCATTCGAGGTCATGCGCATTCAATGGGGCGATCTATAATTGGTTATCGTTTACCTCATGGACACGGACCGGCACAGCTATTAGGACGAGTCAACCCTCAATTACCTCAAGCATTTTATCCACTAAAACAGTTACATTCAGAATTTGATGGTGTAGAAGTAGGAGATGATGATATTATAATGGCTCGCTGTGTGTACGACAGCATGTCTAAAACACAAGATGTGGGGATGGGACCAACACACCATGACGAAATGTGTAACATGTACATCATGTATCACAGTAGGTAAGTATATGTATGAGTATATCACAGAGTGTTATATAATGTATGAATCGTATTGCTGTTTGTCATTATAGGGTTGTTTTTTGTTGTAATGGTCAGGACAGGACAGGTTTTACTAAAACGAACATAAGTTATAAAAATAAAGCGAAATTCCATTTTCTGAATCATTACCTATAATATAACTAATAAATTGATATGTTTTATTAACGAAGATGTTACCATTTAGTCTACTGCGTAGTTGTAGCGAGGGAAAGCGAAGGTAAGTCCAGTGAATGCTAGAACAGTCCAGATTAGCACATGATCTTGATCTACCAAATCAATGGGTGTTAATTTGACTTTATGCTTTCTGATTTACTTGACTTGTTGTAAATAATAGTCTATATAGGTTAGGGAATATGATTTTATGCTGTTAACAATGAGGACAGTCATTCCATATACGTTTTAGTTATTTGACATTTCTAATTATACTGTACGCAACAGTTCTTCAGTACTCATATCTTCCATGCTTATATATATATTGAACTGTCTCTTTGAATATGATATTAAAATTGTGTTAACAAAGTTCTGTTAACTTTGTGTAATGTCCAACTTCATTTAATGTCCATTTCATTAGTTTAAATATGGTAGACTATTCATCCGTCTTTAAGCAACAGTTGTTTTCTGAGTGGAATTGGTTAGTTAGTTTATTCCATGGTATAAAAATGATGAGCGACCATAGTGATTACTGACCACCTAAAAATGTCTATGACATGTATATATTAATAAGCAGAAATGTCAGAAACTAAGCGAAACACCTCAAAAGTCCACTAGATTGAAAGCTCTATTCATTCTTTACTGCTGAATGAATAGTGATAGATTAAGGTGTTGACATGTTTCCTCATAGTCAAACTTATTATCGAGCGATATGAATTTGCATAATGAAAACCTTGGTCAACTTGTTGATTAAGCTATCAATACTATTCATTTTCTTTTTGTTTTATTTATTCCTTTGCCCTTCATCAGAATGTTTTCAGCTCTTTATTTCAATCCGTTTCCTGTAAAATTTGTGCGGTATTTTGTAGGAAAATCAAGTTAATAATTTCCATCTATATCGTTTAATGTTTTCGTCCAGTAAACTAAACCATGGGAAATTCTTAAATTAAAACGTTTGACAAACCTTTGGTCTGGTATTTATGCAAATCGATGTAATTATTCACATGTTTCATGATATTCTACTACTGAAAGACTTCCTTGTGTGAATTCTATTGAAGAGAAAATTTCTTTTATTGTTGACTACATATCATCACTTCAATTTCTATAATTTTTTTCTTTACAAGCTGAATACGATAACATTTACAGGATCCATAACTAAATTATCTTTTTATCGATACTAACATCCTGTTCATGGATGCTTAGATCTGTCTAGTTAATTTGTGAAGTCTTCTATTAAATAGAATTTCAAGTTTAAAAAATTTTCATGTTATTATTTTGATGCTGATCGATTCTGACAACTCCTTTTGTATCGATTTCCTATAACATTCATGTTAGTTTCTAAATTTCTTTCTCTCGTATATATTCTCGTGTTATACATGAATACAACAATCACGTAGATGCATCGATGACTCGATAGAATTAATATATACAACAGACATACGTTTATAAATGATGAAGCTTGCTTTCAAGTTTGCTCAAGCTGTCTCAGGGTCACGGGAATAACCAATCAGTAAAGTGATACGTTAAAATTTCTTCCCCCTTTTGTTCTAATTCCCCTAATATTTTCAAACCTAACATTTACTATTGTGGTAATAATAAATAAAAATATTGTTGTGTAGTTTCTGCCTCAGATGAAATGATGAGAATAAATTGATTCAAGACTGTATTGAATTCTTAAAATAGCTAATAATATAGCAATAGAAACAGTTGAGATTGAGCGTAAAATTGAAAGATGATAGTTATGTGATTAACCAACTTAAGATATCTGACATCAAAATCTCTCCGAGATAAATCACTTTTTTGTGCTTATATCAGAACATCAGTCACATGTCACATGAGACCAAGATGGAAAATGAGAGCAGAAGTTAAGGTCATTGTCTTAACTAGAAGCCAATTATGCTGAAGCAACATCGAAAAGAAGACTACAGCTCGTTCTAGACTAGTCGAACATAATTGTTTGATTATCAAACACTGTATTAACTTCTATAATAGTAGTTTTGGAGGGTTTTCCTCTCAGTGTTAACATTCATCCATGTCATCATGACTTAAGCTGCTAATCACTAAACTATTCATCCTAATAAGAATGTGTCCGGAAATACTTTAAATACCCCTCACTATCCACTTTATTTAGAGACTGGATTCATTTATTGGGATGTAGTTTTTTGAAGCTGTTTTTGTAAAAATAAATATGACATGTTGATATGTAGATTTCTAAGACTGAAAAATTAGCAGTGTTCAATCTTGGTGGCTGTGTATTATATACTGATAACAGTATTTCAAACAGTGATAGATAACTCCACAGATTATTTATATTGCCAAGCCACTGTTGAAAACTGCTCTTTGATGATCACAATTGATCATCAGTAAATAATAGGTATGGTAAGTTAACCTGGTTTCACTTGTTAGAAGTTTTCACTTCTCAAAATTTTTGTCTATGTATTCGCCTTACGTTTGAAATTTAACGTGTTAAACTGTTTATTTATTGCTTCATGTTTGTGTATAATATATTTTCTATGTATTAAATATGCATTCTATTTTTTTTATATTTAATAAAACTAAGTTTTTTAAATAAGTACAAATTTTATATAGTTGTAATAATGAGTCAATTGAAGCTAGACCACCATAGAAAACTGGGAAGCATCGAACGGCCGTTTCTTTCTGTTGTGGGACTCCTCAGCAGTGCTTCCAGGTTTTCCATGATGGTCTAGTTTCAATTGACTCATGATTTTAACTATATCAAATTACTAAAATCTTCACAAAACCCTCTTCTGATAAGTACACATTCGTATATTGGTATAAACTACTCTATGATTGACAATATATATGTGTAAAGGAAAGTTAAGATTTATGAAGAAATGTAATAAATCTAAATAATTATTTTAAATTTAATACAAATCACTTATTAAACTACTTCATTATGGAATCTATAAAAATAAATTTTCATTGACGTAACTAATGGTAACTAGAACGTGGGTAACAAATCAATAATAAGATTAAAAACAAATGCTAAATTAACTTTTTGCCAATATATTACATTAAGTATAGTGTATTTCTTTTAAAATGCTTCTCATAAGCAAAGATGGATGGTGACTAGTGGTGGAATTCAGGATGCGCGTTTCGTCTTATTTGGGACTCGTCAGTTGGATGTACCTGCATCTCAGAGTTGATGTTCACTCTGGGACTCGAACCCAGTACCCTCGCTTCAAACGACATCGCGTTATCCACTCATCTACTGAGTCCTGATAGCCACTTGCTTGTGCAATGGGGTGAAGTTTAAATTCACATAGCATTGTTTGTTTGAATCTCCGCATAAATGTTTTGGACTGCAACTGGTCAGTCTCTAATTGGCATATGTGCATACTGTGCGTATGGCCTCGATATAGCCCGTCCTGGATTTCACTGCTAGCCACTATCCATCTTTGCTTATAATGCTTGTAATTTAAGGCTATATCGAGGCAATACGCACAGTATGCACACATGCTAATTAGAGACTGACCAGTTGCAGTCCTAAACATCAATGAGAAGATTCAAACAAACAATACCATGTGAATTTAATCCTTCTCATAGTTAAAAACTTACTTTCTGATATATATATATATATATATATATATATATATATATATATAATTTTTGGCAAAGATAAAATTGTTTGCGAAATACTTGTGAAAATGATACCGTTTTTCATTAAATTACACTCCGATATGCTTTTTTTTACCTGTTTTTGTGTCCGTGATGTATAGATTAGTAATTCATTTCCTATTCTGTTTTCAATGGTAACATCTAATCAATAAGTCTATTGTTCTCTGTTTGAATAAATGTTGAAAAAATGTTCAGGGAGTTAGTTGTATAAAAATAATCTCATCATATTTTTCTCCATGAGCATAATAAAGAAATCCACTTAGTTGAATTTATCGCATTTTAAATTAAACTCAAGTGTAAATTATGCAAAAATATCCTACTGGATTACTGTACGTATTCGAATGGTTGACAAAATATGTTTTTTTTTTTACTAATGAATGGTTGTGTAACTAAAGAGTTATGGTAAATCATAGATGTATAGTACTTTAAATAAATAATTATATTCTGTCAAATGATGAATTATGTACCAAAAAATATTTAAATGTCATACTACATAACTGAATAGTTAATTAAGTTGTCCGGATAGTGTATTTCGATTGTTTAATAGATATTCCATCTTAATTTTTATGTCCCATATAAAATTTGTTGAATATAAGGGAATGCATTCATCGGATTTCTATTCATACAGTTATAAATAACATGTCGTGATAGTTATATACTTGATGTATGATCTTTAAAAAATGATTTTCACAACTAGCATGGTATGTAAAATACTGTTTTAATATTAAACTATCAGCAATATGACAGTACTCGTGATAAAATCAAAGTAAATATTTCGGTTAAAATATTTTAGAGGTTTAATTTATAGTTGAACCTGTAACCGATCTATCAATCTCAGTGAGTATATTAACATTTTAAAGCGACCGATTGTTGCGAACTTGCTTGAATTCATTTAAGTAAAATTAATAAAAAAATATATTTGCGGATATTTTTTTTATCGACCTGATGAATTCGCCAGAACAGCTACTGAAAACCCTTATATATATGGTTATTAGTTCACATTTGCATTGGACTTATTAGGAATACTCGGTAAAAGTGAATTTTTAAATTATTAAACCGGTATTCTTTAGAGTTTGTGGTGAATATCAGCGTTTAAACGCTCCATTCGAATCCCCTAATCAGTATTTTTAAATTTCGGTCATTTTTGACATTCTTTAATACTCGTTTTAGTTTATTATTCATAAATTCACTGGGAGATCTTGGAAATCGGATTTCAAAACTAAGTTTGGTTGGTAATGCAACACTTTACTCACTGGAGTTACTCATAAACTTTTAGTACTGAATATGATTTCTATCCGTGGTTGTATTAGTTATGTTTGAGAACTTAGCATACAGAATACGATTCTAAACAAGAAAATATTCAGTTGGAACTTTACAAATAATCACATTGAAGCTACTCCAATTTCAGTTGATTATTTGTTTAGACGTATTCATTTATTTTTGTAAGGAAAAACGAAATAATGTCATTTGTAATTTCAGACAGTTTCTAAGAATTGAGTGTAGTTTATTTCTGCTTTTTACTTTTCCGTAGATCACATCGAAACATACAGCCTCACTCATATTATAGAATTGTTATTACGTGCTAAGTTAACTGAATACATCATAAGAATTCAGAAAAATTGTAATTTTGACTTTGATTTTTGTATCGTATAATCTTTTAATAGTAAAGAACTCAATGCTTGCCAAAACCTTAAGTATTTTTCACTGTTGGTGTGTGCAGTCTAATTATTTCTCCTGTACTTCATCCGTAAGTTGTGACATTCGTTTAGAAAGCTTCACAAGATAATATTAGGAAGGTAGTTCGTTTTTACTTATCTCCAATTCAATGCTTAATATGGCCAAATCGAAACTGAATGTGCTTCATGTGAGTAAAGATTGTGAAAAGTACTTTCTACGCATCATAGAAATGTAGCTTGGGAGTTGTTTTATATATTAGTGTGATAAAAACAAGTATTTTTTTAAAGTAAATTTAGTTCATTCCTTTTTACAGTTTTAAGTTAGTCAATATGAGAATTCGTACTTTGGTTTTATACCTGACGTGCCAATATTTTTACCTATGTAAGTGATGTAAAATATGAATAGGTAATAATATTTTTGAGGGTAAATTTCCATTGATGAGAAACTATTTCAGTTTTTGTCATAAATTTTGTAATACCTTGTACATAGGATGACTATGACAATGTTTGTCTCGCAACATATATACAACCACCAAGTGTCCTAATGCGGTCGAGAGTAGGAAAAGTCCACTCTTGTTCTCGAGGTTCTGTCATATGGCCACGCGTATATACCAACTGACAGCTGAGTTCTACGCACTATTTTCTCGTAGAAGGGGGTGTTGTTTACGAAAAACGAGTTTTAGATGCTTAAACTGGGTTGGTGGGTACAGAGAATCCACGTTGAGAGGCTGGGAAACCCTAATCCCAAACATATGGTGTACATGGACCCCAGGATCTTGATGGAGTAAACGACGCATGAACTTACTCTAGGTCACCAGCTGCCATTAGACTGTATTTCCTAACGTTGCTCCATTGTGTTGTAGACTAAACCTCTAGGTCGAAGGCTTGGAAAGTGGTCTACTTAGAAAACCACCTGTTTCGGTTTGGGTACCCAGGCAGTATCCCAGTTCACACATAAGTTTAATGATAACTACTTTGTGTGGCTCATACATAATTCAATGCCTATTTGTACTAGTGTCTATGTATTCAAATGAATAAATAAATAAAATAAACGTCTATACACAAAGATAAACATTATTGAGTGTAACTAGTTTCAGACCATTATTGTGAATCCAATTGTCCATAGAATTTTTAAGATAAAAATTCAAATCGTTAACGTGTATTACATCAATGATAACCATCTCTTCGGTATACATCTCTATAATGAGAATAAGTTATCCAATATTCTGATCTTAATTGTTTGCTTTCTTTCCAATAAAATCTCAATAAAAAACTGAACAAGTAAATTCATACTTTTAAAGACAATCTTTAGTTGTTTCCATATATGATACAGTAAATTGTAAAAGCATAAACACTATTCATATGACATTAACTATTGATTACTTGCTCATTATTTCTATGGTCACTAGTATAACATTATGATGTTGATATAGTTTCTATATTGATTTTTTTTCTCATCTTTTAATAGAAGTGTGAATAAGTTATATTAGTCAATATCATGTTTCAGTCAAGTTAGTAACACGCATATTCGTGTTATTACTTGTTGTAACTTGTGAAGTTTCGAGCTAATCTAAATTTTGTCAATCGAAATACTGATATTTTATGGACATTTTAAACAATATATAATCACTGTATGAAAATTGCTTAACAAGCAAATACATTTCTATATTATGTTCGTAAGATTTTTAGTGATATTGTTTGGAAAAAGCTGATAAAATAATAAGAATCGCTTTGAATTAACATAATTTTGGGATGTAAAAATTGATCGAGTAGTCTGTAATGTCCATTTATTTGAAAACATTAGAAACCTATAAACTGTATATGATGTTAGAAATTAACAGTCTTCAACTGATCTATATTCATGATAACCACTTTTTATGCCAGGAAGTCCATAATTAGTGTGACATAAATTGCTTCTATTAATGACACACTATTTCAGGAGACAACATACCGGTTTATTTTAATCGATATTTTGGGAAAGCATTATTATCAAGTATAATCATAAAGTGATATCACTAGTACTTTGAAGATGATTGCCTCCAATGAGAATAATTAATGTTTATTTGAGCTTAAAAACAAAAGTTCATAGATATTTTTATTTCACCCTAATTATATGTAACAGTCTAATCTAAATTTTCGGATGATTTGTTGCTTGTGACTTTTCAGTATGCGTTTCGTCTCAGATATGAAGTCAACACTCATATCTTTAGAAGTCAAGAATTTATCACAAAAGTTATAAAATTCAAATACTGTATGACAGGTATTGGTTGTCAATAGATGTTTATCGTCTCTATCCAATTATTAGATTGTACAAGAACATATTGAAAGTGTAATAATATTCACTTGATACTAGTTACAATTGCTGAATCTGTTTCGGTATTTAGTCCTTTGGATTAGAAATATATTATTCGATATTAATCAACAATTTTATCCAGTACATAATACTTACCGATAGACCAGTATTCTAGGTTGCAGGCTAGTTAGTAAAACTCATACTCCGTTAGTGCTCTAGTTGAATACTTAGGTTTTTAATATAAGTTAGAATCAATATTCTGCAATTATTTAAACTACGTGATTTGTGAGCAATTGACATATATCAATGAGCCCTAACAAAATCATATACATTTTAATCGTCATCGTATCACGTTTCTCACTCTGTGTACTACATAAGTCTTTCATTCACACGTTCTTCACTTTAAATCTTTGTTAAGTGAGTCGTTGTATAAAAGCTTAGGATTTACTTCACTTATGGTTAAGTGTGACTGGAGTCTAACTATGAATATTTAGGGACAATGACTATGGGTGGGTACTTTAGCCAGAAAAACTGTGACACCTTTGAATTAAATTATTGTATCTTAGAATAGATAAATTATGATTAGTAGTGGATTCAGGATGAAGATTCCGTTCCGTGTGGGACTAGTCATATGACTATACTTGCATTTCACTGTCGATGTTCGCATTCGCACTCAGCGACAACATGCTCCAGACTTCTACTAAGAGTGATATCGGACTTTATATCTTTCGGAAACACATAAGCTTATTGCAATAATCAATAATAAACTTAGTCATTCCGAGAAATTACTCACATATACCAAACATTATTAGCATCATATGTCGAATAAGTAGGCCATGAATAAATATAACCGATAAGTGACTGCGTCTTACCGGTAAATAACTCACTGTTAAAAATGATAGACGAAAAATTTCGCTCAGGCATGCCGAAATCGCTAGAAGAATGAACTGACATTCAATTCTTCGATCACGAAATAAATTTATACATAGACGTATGATTTATTATTTGTACATCTGAAAGAAAGCTGGTGTTTAATTGATGAATAAAAGATCCTTTAATTATTTACATCTGTCTTTCTATTTGTTTTTGGCTTCTGTTATAAGATAAGTGTATTGTCATCAAATTTATGATTCAATTCGAACTGTATTATACTTTGATGTTTTCACTGAATTGTATTACTACAATTTAAAATTATTTTCTGTACTGTGTAACATATCTCATACTGTTTTTTACTGTAGTCCATTGAACTCTTTTGGGGAACAAGAAGGTATGTGTTCTTCAGATATCTATGGGTCAAAATGGAAGTTTATACATGAGTCTCCCGACGAATCAGTTAAAAAGACTCTATTAGAAACTAAACATTTAAATAGCAGCTTACAAAAATCCTCGTCAAGATTATTGCTAGCTGCGGATAATTCCATTGCCTCAGTTCAAACCACATTATCATCAGAGAATGTAATTTTACGCGATGTTACTTTACTGGGACAGGTAAGTAGATATTTATGTAAGCACTGAATATTTAAACTGATGAATCGGTTTCTCTTTTGTCAATCATACAACTTTGTTGTAATCGGTTTTTGGTTAGTGAATAATTATGATATCTTTTGTAATTACACTGTCAGGTGTCACTTGAACAATACCAACTATAGTGGAGACTGGTTAAGCATTCTAAATTAGACATGTGTTTGTAGCATGTTGTAAGCTTTAACTGAAAGCATCCCATATATTTTCTGGTAACTGAAGTTTTTCGCTTGCTATAATATTTTCATAATACGCTATTTATATTGTTGACAAAACATTTTGTACTTTTGATTTTATACTCATAATTTATCTAAAATAATATTCCACCCTATGATCAATACAATTACATATCTGTCCTCTTGAATTTCTAATTTAATTCCTGATAGGGCGTGTAACAGTACAAGTGGCAGTTCAATTTATGCTATCATATTATTTACAAAATATTTTTTGGACATAAGTATTACAAATACGTTCTCATTTTTCATAACTTATTACAATGTCAATAATATAAATCAGCTTATCTTGATGAATTGAGAAGATACCCATATCTATCTATCTATGCGGTTAACTGAATGCATGATATGTATCTTATTATTATACTATCTTAATGATTAAAAATTTTCAACCAGTAAAATATGAAAAAAGTGTCTTATTGGAAACTTTTAACCAGTGGTTATATTCATATTTTTCTAATATACTACTTTAATGAAACTTTTATCAAAGAAAATAGTCAGTAAACACTAACAACTATTTACACTTCAAAAAATATCAACTAATGTTAGCACAACATTTGCAGCAAAATAATAATCAAATTCATTTATTTTGTAAACACTTTTCAGCTGCTTACAACCTAAAAACAATATTCATCGTCAGGATACAAAAATTATGCATGCATTAGACAAGAAAAGTTTTCATTAAAACTGAATTTAACATGATGTTGATCTATAAAGAACACAATAGTTGTAGAGGAATTAAGCAGTAGTTCACAAAGTTGTCTACTTGCGAGCTAACTACATGAATATTCTGGGAGAAAAAAACTAAGAAAATATAAAACCAGAATTCTAACGAAGGAATATATAATGTCATATATTATATAATATTTAAAAGGGACTTACTGTTCGAGTAAAACTTAGAAAAAAGCAACGGATAAGGAATTTTCATGAAGGTTTGAAAATAGATTCATAACCAACTCCTGGAAATGAGGTCATCGAAACAGAACAAGATTCACAAATAACATTTTGAATGGATAAATTAATGCAAATCATTTTAGAGCGATGCATTCTGCAGAGCGTAATAAACTCAAACGTAATTTGCTTATTAATTACTTTGAAAGATTTAAAAGCATTAGCATCACTTCCGTTCTCTGACATTTAGGCAGAGTGCTCAGAGACGTAAATAAATACCCTCCTTTCCTATTATTTATTTTATTCTTTTATAATTTATATTTTTGCTACACTTTATATTATAAAAGAGGGAAATTGCAGGAGGTAATATATATATATATATATATATATATATATATATATATACGGACGAAGTAAAATATCTTGTACGATAAATGAAATCCAACTACAAAATTAAAAGCATCATTTAGGAATAAGGTTTTTACCGTAAAGAAGGGCAAGTAATGAGTTAAACACACATCTAGTTACTACTTATTATCTTTAATTAAGTTACTTTTCTCACACTGTTTTTAGGTAAGTAGTGTGGAAACAAGAGTAACTGATAATGGTCAACATGAATTAATTGTTTTACACCGTGGATCAAATACTTGGACTTATAATTCATTCAATAAAGAATTTATTTATCAAAATGGAGCGGAGTATATAAACACGGAAACTGTTCTTCATGTGAATCCAGTCACAGGCAATGTCACTCAGAAATGGGGACGTAATATGTTTATTTTACCACATAGCATAACATTAAGTTATTTCATGGATAGCAATGCAACCAATGATAACAATTTACGTAAGGAGCAACAACGTAGACGAAATAAAGGAGTACCTAATTCCGTATGGATAACTGATGTGGCACTGCATCAAGTGTTCAAGTTTGACTGGATGAAGTGGGATAAACCCAGTCTAACTTTGGGTATACCTGGTAAACCAGGTAATAATAAACATCAGTTTTGTCAACCATCAGATGTTGCGATATCCAGTACGGTAAGTAATTTCACGTATGAAATCGAGTATATTATATTTATCAAGTAAAGTTTTAGTAGTAACTTACGAAAAGATGCAACTTCAGTTTCTAGAGATTTCATTAATAACAATCATCAGTTACAACTGTCCATAATCGTTCAATAGTTATATAACGACAGTACATTACACAGTTCGAAATCAGCAACAAAGTTCATAAAACAACAATCATGTCTTTCTTCTACACTAACAGAAGTGGCAGTAATATAAACGATATTCAATACTGCTTATTTTAAAACTGAATTAATCGAAATTATGGATACATTTTTTTTATTTAATAGTTATACCCCTACGATTTTCGTAAACAAATTCATGAATAATCTTATTCGAGGTGTTTAGAAGCCTAATTAATATATGATCATCACAGCTAACAGAATTTATTGCGATTTGTGAATTATGGCAAAGTATATGAAGAAACATGATATAATGTTCATGTTTGCATACGCAAGTAAAATCTCTAGGCTTAATTTTCGTATGGTAAGTTAAGATGGATAGTGGCTAGCAGTGAAATCCAGGACGCAAATTTAGGCTATATCGAGGCAATACACACAGTGTGCACATATGCCAATTAGAGACTGACCAGTTGCAGTCCTAAAAACATCAATGGGAAGATCCAAACAAACAATACTAAGTAAATTTTAATTTTTGTATGTTAACTTAGAAGGTAACTTCTTTTATCTATCAAATCGTTAAATGCTATTGGTTAGATCAATATCAAATCCGATTTAAGTGTGTTCTGGCTCACTGTGGCTATGGAAATTGTGTAAATTTTAAAATACATTATAAAGTTGAATTTAAAATCATTGTAGTATTCATAAAAGAGGTGGTTAAAGTTTCTAAACTATACTGTATGTAGTCAAGAATTCACCTTTTACCAATTATTAAGACAAATATATGAATCTCCTCCATCTGGTTAGCAAAAATGATAAAAAAAGTAATGGAACTTTAGAGAACGTAGGCATTTAACTATAAAATGAAATTTCTTCAATATTATGAACTAGTTATTTGTGTGAGAACTAATTGGATATATCATCTTGATTACTTTAGAGAAATGGTATTATGTACTTGTGTTGAAATCATGTACTTTTCAAATTATTATCAACTTGCCCTATACTATTTGTAGGTTTTTACAGGAACTGAAATTATTGAAGTCAGTTCACTTTTATCACTTAAGAGAATAGATAGTTATTTAACATCAAAAGCTTTTGTTTTATTGTTAAAGAAGACAACAATGTTTAGCAGAATAAGTATTTCTTTGAAGTTTTATTTTACCGAAGTATGAATCCCTTGTCAATTATAAAACTATACTTTTTATTTGATTATAGGGGGATATATTTATTTCGGATGGTTACTGCAATTCACGAATTGTTAAATTTTCATCAGACGGGACTTATATAACAGAATGGTCCGTTTTAGGTTTATCTAATCGAGAATATCAATATGATACAATACATATGCCTGTATCACCGTCACAAGAAGATTGGGCAGGCGAACTTTCATACCCTGATCCAAATTACTCATCAAGCGTGAATATCAGAGGGTTAGACTTTAAAGTAGTGCATAGTTTAACTATAATTCCAAGTGAGGACGGTACTCTTGAACAAGTCTGTGCTGCAGATAGGGAAAACGCAGCTGTATTATGTTACACATTAAATGGTAAACTGATAAGACGTTATGGGGATTCCTCTCTACAACCTTCAGTCTATGCGATTCAATATGATCCAGTTCATAAGTAAGTTTATATATATTTATCTTAATAAGGAAACTACTTGGTTTTGTACTGTTTTAATAAAACTATCTGGTATATAGATTGATCTAACTATAATAAAGTTAAACTTTGTGCATTTTTGAGGATTATAGATATAATGGGCAAGGTGATAATTGTTTAAACTGCGAGTGACGTCTAAGACCAATTTTGTCCACTCCCTATGACATTTGATCATATTTAAGTTGGAGTGATTACAATTTTTAGTTACATCTGTTGATTATAGCAATTTACTGTTATAATATTATAAATTGGGTTCATTTATTAGGTTGGTGATTTAAGTGCTGTGAAAGGCTACTCATGCTAATTAATTCAACCCAGACTATTGAACAAGGTAAACAGAACATATGAAAATCAGTATATTCATATGTCATTTTGATCTAATTTTGATTTATAATAAATTCCTATCTATCGTCTTCATACTTGCTTTTAAGTCGTCCAAATCAACATCTGTAGTAAGTACTAGTTTTCCAAGGTTGTATTAATTAAGGTCCTCAGTCACTACGTTCTATGCTGGTATATTCTTATCTTTAATCTGAACGGCATGATATGAAACAAAGGAGTGAATTCAAAACGACTCATCATTTGTGATAGAATATACAATTTTTTTCAAATTTTCGTGTTTTTCAAGCTGCATGTAAGATAAAACCTATATGAAGCTGGATTATCTTTATTACGTTCAAGACCTTAGCATCACTACCATGCTGAATGACATGGATTCAAATCTATAAAATAAAATCACTTCTCGCAAAAATTTTTATACTCCATGCTTTTTAGTGTACCAACACAAATCCAATTCATTAGCGTTCTGTCAATCACCCCGACTATGTGTAAATAAACAAATACTGCAAAATGTCAAGTTACTTCGGTTTATGACCTCGTTGTAATTTGATCGACATAATTCCATCACCTTTATTGACTGGTAAAAAGATATTAGTTATTGATCAGTAGCTTATTATTGCCCGTAGCGGAGTTAAATTTTCAGTTATCTGAACATTTATTTTTAATTTTCTGATGCATCCTATACCATTATTTTAGTTCCTTTGTTTCTCCCCTTATTTCTTCTCACCTGATGTAATACTATGACATATTATTTTACAAAAAAAAAGTTGTCTGATTATGATTTTCGCTGTAAACAAAGAAACAGAATAACAACCGTGGTAATTATTTATCATCGGTTTGTTGAAAAAACTTCACTAGAAAATATCCAGATTAACAGGAAATAAAAACTACATTAAAAAAAAGAAATATGGAAACTTGGTCTTTTCTTGATGACCCTATCAATGGTTTCAATTAGTTTTTGATACAACTTACTAAAGATCCAGGCAGTCTATACTCTTACATAATTATAAGATTATAAGGCACGCTGAGTTTACGGTTCAGTATTTTAGTAAATCACATGAATTTATGGTATACCGTTATGTGTGTTAAAATTAATGTTTGCTGGCTCCGGTCAAAATGTAAACTTAAGCTGTCCTATTAAAACGAAATATAGAACTCTATTGTAAAATAACTGTTTAAATTGTTAAAATCAGGTGAATTTCTCAAACGATGTAAGACAAAATCAGTTATTTTTCAGGACTACTAACTGTTTATTGATTTCCATGGAATAGCTGTATTTTATAGAAGAATGAGAAAGGTTACTTTAATGCTTACAAAACAATATGGATTAGGTAGCTTTATAATTGCCACGACAAATAAAGCTAACTTCCTGAAGCATTAAAAGAAATAAATTAGATGAATTTATAGTAGTTAAAAATATCTAAATTAGCCTAGACAACTACATCCATCCATATTAAACTCGTTAAAGCTAACTTACAACAAGTAATTTTATGACAGATGGCTCTTCATGTAAGTTGAAAGCGTGGGTCAATTGAAGCTACACCACCATGGAAAACCTGGAAGCACTGGACGGCCGTTTCGTTCTTTTATGGGACTTCTCGATCGGTTGAGTGCTCAGTCGCAAAGCTGGTAGGTCCTGGGTTTGAATCTCGCGGGTGCGGGATCGTGGATATGCACTGCTGAGGAGTCCCATAATATGACGAAACGGCCGTCCAGTGCTTCCAGGTTTTCCATGGTGTTGTAGCTTCAATTGACTCACGCTTTCAACTATGAAAATACTGAATCTCCACAAAACCCCTTCTGACATCTTTTTTAACCTAGAAATGAATCTCAACTGAGAGCAATTATGTTTAATTTCAAGTACTCAGGTAAATTAACAAAGAAACAAGTTTATGTATACAATTGCCAATAAAATCAAAGTGCTCTCCCAGATGAATACTGTGCTCATGGGAGTGATTTGAAATGAAGCTTACTTTTATGAATAAGAAATAATGATTAAATATTGTTAAATAATAGTCTCAAATTAAGTCGAATTAATGCGGGTGCACTCATTAATTTTTCTTTTGTAACTAATAAATCAAAGATGTATAGTCAATTGTTTCAAGTTAGATTGTATTCTCATTTTTATTTATCTGATTACCTACCTGAGTAACATCAACTAAATATATAATACGGTTTTAATGAATAAACGATAACACATCACACGACCAGTTTCAAGGATAAGCTTAAATATAACAAGAATAACAAAATTTGTTGAACAAAATAAATTCATTCTCTTTTATGGCTTTATATCATCTGCAAAAAGTCTAAAATTATAAGGAATAATATAATTATAAATAAAGGTTTAATATAAATTGATGCATGAAGTTTAGAGGGATATTCGAAACAGGACCGAAATCATAATGCGATTGAAAATACTTAAGATCGATGCATATTCATATGCTGCCACCTTGATGTTCTTGTTCTGTTTAAAACCACCTCTTAACAAAATATTTATTACCATATATGATTGTGAATTATCACTTAATCACTAATATATTAATTTCACTGATTAGGTATCAAGAAATTTTAGGACACATTATTTTGACAGTAACGTCTTTTAGTGTTGGATAAAAATGATTTATAAACTGTATCACATGTAAACAGAAACATTAACTGTTGTCAGTGCTTCTAATTTTACTATTGTAGATTAATCGTTGGGCTTACTGGTAGCACTTATATGTCTGTAGTCGATCCAACATCGAGTAATGATAATGTATTATTACCACCAAATTTATTCTTTTTAAATCCATATAAACCAAAGAGTTTGAACGAATTGGGAAATAAATCGTACAATCCATATTGGGCAGATATATATCAAGGTTCTGCATTAACTGGGTTTTTTTCTCTTCAGAATGTACGGTCACCCCATGATTTGACTTTGTCCCCAACAAATGATATTATTTATGTATCCGAAATCTATCCATATAAGGTTCATCGATTTGAAATCCAAAATGATTCTGGTAAGTGATTGAATTATTTAACTGAAATGGTTTTACATGTGAAATTTATTTACTTTATCAATTTATTATAAAAAGTTTTGTGTTCCCGTTTAATGATCGGAAGTTAGAGATTGATAGTTGAATGATTTGACATAGTTTGAAACCTTTTGATTATCCGTACTTAGTTCAGGTATGATTCATGACTTTTGTTACTTCTTACATTTCCACGTTGCCTAGAGTTTTCCAAGGTTTTGAAAAAAAATTTATTTGCTGAGCATGAATAATAAATCTTACAACAACAGCGACTCCCTTAATATTGAACAGTAGACAGAACCATATACGTAGTTTATAAAGAAACTGGAAATGTTATCTACTTGAATCATATCACCAAAAGGCTATCATAAATATATATGTAATTGTGAGTAATTACAATATATAGTAATGATCGTTAACATTATTTCAGCAGTTATTTTGCCAAGTATAATAATCATCATAATGAGTGGTACTTCTGAACTGTCTTTAGTCTCAAGGTTTATACTTTCCTAAAGTACTCTGACTACAGATTCTGAAATAAATTTGAACAGACGAATTTACACATCTTTTTATTTAATAGCTGGCTTGATTAAGATATTGTGGTCGTTTGTACTTAAGAGAAAGAAGTCTTAGAAAATTCAAAGACATATTTTTTTCCGAAAGTTGAAGCTTACTTTATCCAGGTTTACAATAGTCATTAAACTATTCATATCATTCTGCTAAATATGTTCAACTTTGTTTAACATAACTCCTGAATAAATTTTGTATATAATTAACGTTGATGCACAAATAATTTAGAAAACAATTAACTATTTCATTGGTTGATATTATGATGAAGAAACAATTATCTCCTCCGAATGTAAAATTAGTGAAAACAAATACAAATCTTATTTACATGTATTGTTGAATAACTCGGAATATTGACTAACTCTCTATATAACCTACTTTATGGAAATCATTTGGTAGAAGTCGATATTTTTTGAGCAAATTTTGTTTTGTGTTCATTTCTTATGACAATATTATTTGGTAAAGAAAACTAGAGAATCAATTAACAACAAAGAGAAAGTATTTTAAAGGAAACCATCGGGGATAAGTACGTGATCTTTATCAGGTCATACTGGGTTAACTATGAATAAACTGGTGGTGTATACTGGGCCTGTTATAAGTTTCAGTAACAGGATTGAAGGCACTGAACAGGAAGTAGTATGGTTATATCATGTTTATAGTTAAGAGGTGACTAATACTCTCAATTTGCTTCAAAACGTGATTCATCTATTGTTACAGAAATTAACAGTGAGCTATTAAAGCTGCTACGTTTTGAAATACGTAATATTGGTGAATCCTTTCTATTAGGTCCCAGTGTTTTCTATAAATTTTGATGATAAGTATTAGGTAACGTAAAACTTAGGTATTAAGTTTAGTGACTGTTTAACCGTTTTTTTGACAGAACGGAATCAATAGTAATGACTGGACAATATGATTTTGGTTAGAATTCCATAATCACATAATTATACATTATAGTTATGTGGATAAAAGCAAAGGATTCGACCTCTTACTTCTGATTCAAAAGTTCTGGGTAAAATTGTTTAGTTTGCTGTGTGAAATATTGAATATTAGACTTGAAAATTAAACAACGAATATTTAAATTCTATTCAGACTTCCAAGCAAATTTAATATAAGCAAGAATCTTTCCAATTATTCAATAGATTACAGAAATTTACTTCTGGTACTGGTTCAATCATTTACTTGATCGTGGTTTTTGTAAATTAAAAGCAACTCACTGACCACCGAATATAATACATTTCATTGTAATTCAATATTCTTGTTTAGCATACAGGTTAGATAATTATTAAGTGAACATTGTGAACTAGTAAAGTATTGATAGTATACGAGTGAAGAGCAGTATATGACTAATCTAGAAAACCATTTAAACAACAAGAATAAACTAGAATAATACTTAGTCATGATGCATATATTGATAATGAAAACTATTATAAAGTCACTATTTGCTGTATCGTAGAAGTAAACAAGAAATGGAGTAAGATGAAAGTAATCAGTTGTCTAATTTGTTCTTTTCAAAATTATAAAACAGATAAATATCATTATAAGATGTATTAAGCACTGAACATTTTTGTACTTCATTCGAAATTTTTCTCACTAAGGTAATTAATATCAGTAATAAGATATAGAAGAAAAACAGATAAGCGTCTTCCGTTATCACCGTTGTAGAACCTTGGTATTTTCCACCAGATCTAAGCTCCATTGATAGCCTACACGTAATTTTGTACAAAAGTTTAATTATAAATGATTCACAGTTTGGATTTAAACAAAGTGGGTCGTTCTTTTTTGTATAGAATTCTTGAAGATTCAGGGATAAATTTTATTATGTGTATTTTAAACGAAATAATACTTTGTTGTATTTCCACTAACCAAAAGGTGATTCACCTTTGAACTGAACATTGTTCCTATCGATCTGCTTAATCTTTCAAAAATTTCCTAATTGTTAATTGGTTTGCCAACATAATTATAGATCATTATACATTTGACAATAATAGATGCTGGTTATATTAGTCTCTTTAAGAATGTAAGAAAACCAGCATATTTTAGTTATGAATTCGTTTTATAGTATAGGATTCGATAAACACCACATTTCTGGAAATCACTTGCTTGATGCTTTTAAAAAGTGTTTATTATTATTAATAGGTAGTAATAGTAGTAGTAGTAGTTTTAACAATACCCATAACAATTATTTTCACAACAATAAAAATAATGACAGTATCAATGACACTAATAATAGTGTAAATAATCTCTGTTGACTTGCTTAATCCGAAAAAAACAATTTTCAATCTATGTAGCTTAAAATTGTGTTGACATAGTTTGTAGAAACAGAATCTTAAATGGAAGCTTTGAAACAAATATTAAAATTGTTTTTAAACAGTATGCTTGATAGTGTCTTCAAGGAAATGATCAAAAATTTTTTTAATATTTGGTGATTTGAAGTGGCTAACATGAAACTTTTGAGCTAGGCTTCATGCTAGTTGACACTCTTTAACAAGACATATTTCCAAACAGACTTCACAGTCTAAGACTTTACTACAAAGCTATTCAGATGAAGAATGATCTCCTGTGGAACTGGGATATTGATCGTTGAATAATGACAATGTAGTGACCAATGTGATGTCTCTCAAGTCCTTTAGGGCCGCTCGAGTTTTATCAAATACATCTGGTCGATTTTATCTAGTAATTACTGAAGTAAATATGATAGTTCATATCTAACAGAAAATATGTAAATAAAGCATTCTTAGATTTGTTTCTACCTTCAGAATTAATGTATTGAAACAAAAGTAGTATTAGTCTAAAAATAGTTGATCAGTATCGTTGATTTTTCTAAGAATACAGTCTTGTATCTAATATCTCTCATATACTCAGAGCCTATTTTGTTTTCAAATCTTGATGAAGGTTTAGAAATAGTAATGAAATGATTTATTTGGAAAACTAAATCCTATCTGTACATGAGAATATTAGTACTCAGATTAATCCAACATAAAATGAAAATATTTACAATACTAAACATAGATTGCCAAGTCGTTATTGGATATTTTAATTATTGTATAACGAAATAAGATAATAGATTTTGAGTAGTTTTCTTAGCACAAAGCTAGTTTAATCCTTGTTATGATACAGTATATAAATAATAGATTAAGATGAAAAGATACTAATCAGTCATTGTACAGACACCTAAATTGTCTTCTTAACCGGTTCTTATAACCCCGACAACTACACGTCAGTTGGAAAACCAGAGGGAAGGTTTGAATAGCAAAACTAAAGACTTGTAATAAGAATAAATCAAAGTGATTTAAGAATACTTCACATTTTCTATGATTTATTTACTGTTAGATTATCAGTCAGATTTGTCTAAATTGAACTGAGTTGAATTTAACAGTAATAATGATTCAATAACTTACTATGTGAATACATATTTACAATATTATACAATTAAGTACCTATAATACTTCTTAAGTTGTGAATACATTTCATATAAGACTGGAAAAAAAATCAATTTCATAGGGCATTCGCACTATAATCGATTAAGTTATTATTCGCTATATCAGATACCAATAATCATGATTGTTCACCTTCGATTTTACAGTAATCGGTTTTGTGCCTGATTGTAAACCACATGAATACATCAGGTATTTCTTATAATTTATCATTTAATGCATTTTATTGAATGGCTAAAGCAACTGGAAAGTATGTGGCTTATAGTTGTTGGCATGTTTATTCGTTTGCATATAACTATGATAGCATTATTGTAATGAACTGAAATTTCTTTGATATTCAATAAAGCTACTAATTAACTAAACTGACTTTGAACATCTCATACTTAAGAAAATTCAGAAAGCGAGCAAGATATCCGTTTCCCAAAAAAGTTTCGAGATGGGTAGTGGCAAAGTGGTAGCTAAGTGGATAACACTATGGCGTTTGAGACGAATAGTACTGGGTTCGAGTCCCGGATGCAGGTAGATCCAGCAGACGTATCCCAAAATAGGACGAAATGTGGGTTCTGGATTGTTCTGCTACCCACTACCCATCTCTAATTATTGTAGTTACTTGATTGAGCGTTTGCACCATAATGTGTTTCTTAAAGTAGTTGAAAAAAGCTTGATACAGAGGAATAAAAGAAATTCAACCTCTCGGATCCATAAACTTCAGTTTGTTAATTGACTATATCCAAATAAGCATTATTAGTATGCAAAATGACAACTGTCAACAGTAATGTCACAATCAGATATTAAATAATCTGACGACGTAATAATATCATCTCTTGAAAATGGTTCCTGATTGTCATTAGATGGCAATAATGCAGATAAATTTAATATCAAAACAAAAAATCGAAATATGTTAATTTTTTGAAATAATCATCAAGTCATATAATCAGACTATTGGAAACTATTACATCCGAAGCGGTGATAACGGCGATAAGTTTTTTATGTAAATTGAATCGATTTTTTATATAGGAAATTTGTTAGCAAGCTTATTTACCTGCTAAGAATTTAACAGAACGTTAAAGAAATGAACAACAAACAGGAAAAACTGCATACTGTCTATTATTCATATTGTGGTGTGGGTTGTTTACATCCACATATGTAGTATATGACGATGGTCAGGCAGAGAATATATTTCACCAGTAGATCGATAAGGAGAGAACGGCAACGAAACGCAATTGGTATGGAAATGCATGGATAATAATAATCGGACACTATGTACTGATATTTGCAGAAGGAATGATCAAGATTGAGACAATTGATTGACAATTTGCAAATTAAGTATTTACTGTATAGTTGTCAGATTTTAGTGAGATATTCTGTAATTTTCGTGTCAAGTACATTCGATTGTCCCCATCAGTGTTCTTGCTCACTACAATAGTACTATGAACTCCTGAATGGTATATATTACACACACTGGGAGAATTTAAAATCTCTTCTTTGATATTTATGATTTACACTGGTAAAGATTCTATTAACAGAACAAAGCTACTGTCTAATGGTCTATAGTTTACCCATGATTTTTTTTCAATCAACTCATTGTTTGATAAAAACTAAGATCTAATCAATAATTTCTTTAAAAAGGGTTTGCTTCCATATATCACTATGACAAACGTAATCAAAACAGACATTTTTACAGTTAGTGTACTTCGGAAAGTTTTGTGTAAAACAATTTTTATTCTTTCTTTTAATTGAAAATATATTCAAATTATATAAAGAAACGTGATTAGAGTATGAATTATGTATTGATTTATATTTTGATAATTATAGCAGAAATCATTCAAATGTTCATACTGTCATTACAAATTATCAAGTTTTGTACACGAATTAGATAGAGACAAAGTCATTGTATGTATATTTAACCAACTAAGCAAATTATTAGTAAAGTATTTGAACAATGTGAAAAAAACTTTTCAGTTAAAATTAATAAATCATTGGGCGAGACTATAATTTATGGACGAACCAATCAGAAGCGTTTTAAGGATTTCAAGGTCATGGCACCAATTTTAGTACCTGATGCTCATGTACAATCGGTTCACAGAAGATTTTAGAGAAGACGTGATAATTAAACGGCCACAATAAGTGGGACTACTACGAATTTTCTTTATTTGTAATTGCGATAATCAAATGACTTGTAGACCTTGTGCAGACTACCGTGATGTTGTCCTTCGAGGTAATATATGTTGGAGGAAGACGTCTGCTAGAATAAGAAATAGTTTCGCTCGATAGAGATTGAGACAAAGGAAAATTATAATAATCACTGCTAACTGTGTAGTAAAAGCACCCGTAACATTTGCTGCAATAATTGCAAATGTTACTGAAGCTTCTGCTGTTCAGTGGTGTTAGTATTGTTGGGATATAAGGGTATTAAAAATGACAAACCTACACAACAGGAGTACAAACAAAATTATTGAAGCTATATGGTCGTGGCTGAGGGAGATTTTGCGACTTTATCATGTCTCGAGAGACCGACTGTTATGGAGTCATATGGATGAGTCCCTTTACCGTATGTGTTACGATTTTAAAGCCTTTGAACCTCTTTCTAACCTTGATAAGATTTTGGACCATGCAAAAGAAGTGTATCCACATTAATTCTTTGGTTTTGTACAATATATTTGTACTCCGTACCAATTGTTTACTGATTGGTTAATCTTTATCAAAGTCACTCGAGATCTGTTCAAAGGTCGTCCATAAATTATAGTCTCGCCAATAATTGAAATTAAACTAATGGAAAGTATTAATGATATATGCAAAGATAATAATAATGTAACGTAAAGGTATTAAACAAATGGGGTTTTTTATTTACGCGTTTAGTCTATAAGTTTTCCATGTTTATTCCTTTGGTTATGTTTAGTTAGTAGAGATTTAAACGTCGAGAGCTTCATTAGTACAATATGGTATGATGGTGAATATTGAGCACCTATCGATTTTGTACTTTATACTTAGTAAATTGAAAAAAATGTTAAACTTTTAATTAAATTTGGTTATCGTTTTATGAAGGGACATTGAAGACAGCTTCTCCTCTTTCTCATACATGTATAAAAACATAATTATTAACAAGCCAAAACAACTATATAATTACATTTTTGTTAGTATCATCGTTATCATTGTCTGATTTGTTTATTTATTTATACTCTAATTCTATCAGTTCTAACTATCCAGAGTGTCTTAATAAAAATACTTACTATGAACTGACCTTAGCATGATCACCATTAGAGACTAGAAGCTATTGACAGATTGTTTCACCCTAGTATGGGCTCCTCAGCCGGAGCCCCATGGTGATGTAGCTAAGATCAGTTCGTCATTTATACTGTGAAAACTCCACACTCTATCCCTCTAATGATAAGAACACGTGTAATTAGTTAATAACCGAGTGGTGCACAATTTCATGTTTCCATAGTCCTTTAAGTGCTGATAGGATTCCGTCAATCAAGTTGCCACGCGGCCTCTGGTCTAGGTGACTCAAAATTGCGTTCATTGTGTCAAGATATTTGGTGCCTAGTGGCAGTCTACAGGAAACCATGGACCTAGATCTTGGGCTATTTAGGACTTGTCGGCTGTGGATAACTATTTCATACCGAACTCAGACTGTACTCCGCTGGTCACGGCTTCTCACTTGAACTCGAGGAGTTACATTTTGATGTTATTCAGTCAGATGACAGTAATTTCATCGAAGTAGATGGCGAAACATGTTCTTCAGTCTAAGTATAAGAACTACGAGTTAGTTTTAAAAGCGATTCTTGGATCAGTCATCAAGAATACCTCAGTGGGCACAACAGCTCTTATAATACTGAAATCCTTAAGCAATATTAATTGTTTAAAGCGACTAAATTAGAAATTATTTCTAGACAAAGGCGTGATAAAAACTGTAAATATTTACATAGCTTAGCCATGTTTTAAGCATTTTTAGATTATTGAAACGCGTTCGTCGATTTGTTGTTTTGATTTGTCTCAATTCTAATGATTATTTTATCTAAGCTTCACTTGAATGTTTGATAGAGATTCACAAGTTTCTTTACTCACCATAAACTGATACCATTTGAAGAAAAGTTGTAAATCATTTTAAACCTCTTAGCAGGTTCCCAGTGACTTGGAGCTCCTCAATACTGATTACCTATGAGGAATACGAAACTGAACCTTTATTTTTCACCATAAGCATGATACATTTAGGCTACTAAATAGAAAAACATAATCATCTACAGCTCTAAATCCAATTAGCTTGCTATTAAATACAATGTTCATAGATAGCTTTTGTCTCGCCTTGTTACTCTGAAATATTTTTCATTGGCTATTAGTGACAACTATCAGCTCGACTGACTCAGTAACTACTGAGCTATAGTTAGTTACAAGTTTGTCAGATGAATTCGTCGTTGTGATGGTACTTGGTAAGAGGTCATTTGATGTAAATCTCACCAACTTTTCTCTATTATGAAATTGAGGATCATGAATATAACTCTTTTTTTGAACATTTTGATACTTACAAGCGAAAAGCCACAGACTACTGTATCCCTTTGTGTTTATGCCTATGTTGAATTTGTAATGAGGAGATTTTTATAAAATTATGAAAAATCTACTCACATATAGATTACTGTAGTTTATAAGTATATATCGTGGGAAGTTATTTGCAATTATAATTTCATTTACTTCTATGGTATCCATTTTTAAATATTATGTAATTAATGTTACTTTTATTGATTATTTCAATATATTTATTTTATTATTTTATATATTGATCGATATTCAGGTTTCACTGGTTTAGAACAAAGAAATAATCTTGTTGAACTTGTTGGTATAGAGGGTCGTTACATATGGAAACTACATACATTAACACCATATCAATTATCTGGTCTTTCATTTCTATTATTCATTGTATTTGTTCTCTTATTACTCGGTTGTATACGTTTGTGCTGGTGCAAACGCAAATCAAGTGGTAACATGAGAAGAAATAAACGTGAAAGTAATAAAGTTTTCGCAGTCTCACCAAAAATATCTGCTAATGGTATTTATTCACGATGGTCATCTAAACAAAATTCAAAGAAAAATAAACAGGCTGGTTTTCGACCACTTATAAGAAACAGTGATGGTCCAGACTATTTTGCTGAGCAAGAACTTGAGGATTATGTTGATGAAGATGAAGTATCAGGTGATAATGAAGGTAATCACAATAGTGATGAAGATGTGCTCATGGATGCTTATGCAGATCGTCAATTATTAAAACAAAATAATATATTAAATAGCAGACAAAAGTTTATTCCAAAAGTTAAAGGTGCCAATTCAAAGATTTCACATTCGAATTCTCTTTCATCTAGATTACTTAGGCTTAAAACCGGTATTAATAAACCGGATTCCGTTGCTTGAATGTGAAACCATTAAAATAATCTTTTTTCTAATATTGCTGAGAAACCTTCAGTCTTTTAAATGTTTTATGCTGTGGTAAATTTTCGGAAGAAAACTGATCGAATAATATCGGTATTCAGTTTCTCCTAAGTGGTTGTTGTGTTCGTCAATGTTTCTGTATCATTATGACTAAATCAAAATCAATATTCCACATTATACATCAAGAAGATTATTTACAACTTTTATAGGAATTATAACTACGTTTTACTTAAGTAGTCCATTTATTTCTTTGGAGTTATGTCATGTTATGTCATATTTCTCAAGAAGCAAATTATTTTCTTTCTAGAACCCTGAAACGTTTGTGGATAAGACAGGTGTCGTTTTCGCTTTTTTTACGAATACATTCCAGTCTATTATTGTAAGCAGTCAATTCATTTCTAAATTCATATTACTTTTGATTGTGATAACTATCATTTGAGTTTTCGAAGTACGTGTTTTTTTTAAAAATACTTTACTTATTGTCTTTGTGAATTGTATTTCATAGTTATGTATAACGTTCATATGTTTTTTTATTGGAAATAAGAGCATTTTATGTCTTGTCTTATTGTGGTGTTTTGCAACATTTTCAGCAGCATAAGTTATTTGCCAAAATCGGCTCTTGGTTAACATGATTAATGTCTAGATTAAAATACTGATTATATTGTTCGATATCGATGACATAAAGACCGTAATAACCTACAGAAGTTTACCTTATGAACGCTTAGGGGTTTAGGTGAGAAGCTTTAAACACATCATCTCTGCAGATTTATCGACTATTCACTTCGTACTCTCGTTCATTATGTAGAACGGTATGATTGTCAATAATGAAAATAAGTTTCAGATGTAATCCTTTTTTCAGACAATCATAATAAATTTTCACTTTACTCCACTTTTCAAAGCGTCAAAGACGAACTTTATTACTATTTGTCGCAAAACGTGAACTATTTTCATTCAACTCCAAATAATATTTTGTACTGAGTGTCTTCTTCAGTTATATTTGTTAGTGATTGTTATATTGATGTGCAGTCATTGAGATTGGACAAACAGATTTTCATCTTATTGACTACTTAATATATGATTTTCTTCCTTTTATTAATTTCTACCCTGGATTCATTGAGTGTAGACTGCGTGGAATTGTCTTGAACATAAAGATACCAAACCATCATCAACATGGCAATATGAACTTCAGAGTTGATTATTAACTCACAAACAGTTGAAGGGATGGTAAGCCAATGCTTAGTGAATCTAGCAAAGTGCTCGTTATCTGAATTTTAGAGATACATCCTCTCAGAGGAGCTGAAAATGAAAACTTGATGCAACAAAGTCAGATATCATACACCTAGTCCCCTTTATTATCCTGAAGATAACATAAATTAAGAACTAAGCAAAATAACATGAAATCACCGTATTTAGTTAAGTTCTCGTTAGCTGCTTACAACCTATAATATTTTGAAATCAAAGTCATCGGAAAGTTTACATGCTTATAACAGTAAAATTGGACACCTATCGTCATGATGGAGTACTGAGATTGAAGACATATAAAGTGTTGTAAATAAATACAATATGTGGGAGATTCTGGATTATTAGAAATAGTAAAAAGAGATCATAGAGCTAAGATAATTGATTGATTATGTAATGAAGACACAAATTGATAGAAATCAAAAATTAAACGAGTTGAGATCAGTCAATTAAATGCAACATTATGAACGTGAAAGAAGTGATGCAATCAGAGTAAGCTAGCAAATATGATAAGAATGCTGTAACAAACTAACAATAAAGTCGACATAATAAGCAAAGAATTATAACTGTTTTTTTATACATAATCCCAGCTTTAGGTGTTTGGTGGCTATGACTTTGGCACATTTGAAAGGAACGAAATCTAACTGTCGATTTATGATTCTGAAAGATTTCAATATATCAACTTGATGCTCTGCGTTAAAGAGATGTTTATAAGTTACAGTGCTGAAACCCTATAATCCTATTGATCTGAGACTTTAGGATATATTCTTGGATCCAAAAGTAGGGCCTTCTTTCTTTTCTACCAATGTAATCGATTTAGCAGGTACATATTAATTTATATACCCAGTTTGAGGTAACTTGAAAGGATTACCTATCGATCGTCGATTGGAGTAAAGAACATATTGTTTTATACAAGGTAATAGGCTTGGCTCCAGGTCAGTGTAGTTTTTAATCTTGTTTATTGTCCCTGCAACACCATCACTTGTGGATCCAAGTTGAATGATAATAAGTTCATTGTCTTCTGTAGTTTCTTTAGGTGTTTTGTCCTAACGCTTCCTTTATTTCTCAATAAATTTCCTTGGATACTCTTTTTTCATAACGCAATTTTTAACGTTCACTAATCTGACTTCTAGTGTATCCGGAGTACTATTCTTTCCTTTCTGTGAAATAGAGTTTCGATAAGTGTCTTTGTATAACTAGCAGGAAGGATCTACTGAAATTCAAACTAACACCATTTCATGTATCTTTTCGATAAACTGAACACTAAATTGTACCACCGTCCCTCCGTTGTATGGCGATATCGTAAAAGCAAATGTAGAGTAATTCCAAAAGCATACGAGACCGAAAATACTAATAAAATGCTGGTAAAATACCATCAACCAACAAATATCCTTCGGATAATTAAAATAACCCGGTGTGTCATTAAATAAAAATATATGGAATTTAGTGGAGAGAGTTTTCTTTTCGACAAAACAGTTTGCTTAAGTTGTACATTCTTATTTATAGTTGTGTGTAAATATATGTCTATAGAAAGATAGAAAAGATTGCATCATAAATTGATTTGAGACTCGTATTATCAGATGAGTTTGCACAACAATCAAGGGATAAGAGAAGAATAAAAGGATATGAAGAAAAAATGAAGAACACTATAGTCATAATAATAACTGAAAGATGAACATGAAAATTTTTTAAAACAAAATAGTAACTAATTACGGTTTTAAATCGCTAAACAAAAATAAAAATAAAACAAGACTAGAACATACTGTGGAAAGGAATTAGTCCCAAGAAAGTGTAAGAGGTTGGATGTATCGTTTTTGCACACAGAGTTCAGGCTTGAACTAGTGGATCTCCTACGCCTCAGAAGTGCATAAGCTTTTGATTCAGCCTCCCTTCGACCTAGTTCCTTTAAATGTATAGATTATTTTTAAGGAAGACTCCTTTGGAGCGACATGTTCAGATTTGACTAGATACTACTGCATTGAACTGGTAATTGTTTTGTATTCCTTTCTTAAAAGCTACACCGTGTAATGTTTTTAGATGCGTTTAAAATTAATCGCTATATCCTCCCATTCTTCTCTAACCCCCTGATTACTACGTAACCTCATTTGATGTTTGAAATCTCAAATCGCTCTACAATGCAATCTTTTCTATCTTTCTACAGACTTATATATTAAAAAACAACTATAAATACGAATGTATAACATAAGTAAATTATTTCGTCGAAAAGAAAATATTCTTTATTTTAAAGAATCATAAGCTCTACTACTAAAAGTCTACTAAGAATTCATAGAGAACTGTCATCACAATTTAAAACATCTTGTGATGTTTAATAGGATTGTAAGCTTTCATCACTTTTATTTGATTTTGTCATAGACATTCTGCTAGAGATGATCATTTCTTCGTCTAAGTCCTTGGGATTATTGTCCTACCAAAACGTCCACTTCTCAACTTAAAATACAGATATTACGTAGTACTATTTAATGAAGAAACTGAAGAAATGCAATCTTTTGATCCCTTTTGGAGGTAAATTAAGCATATTTAGATTTATTCCTATCCCTATAAGTGTAAAATCTTTCTTCTGGAATGATTTTCGACTACTCCTATACTGTTGATAAGGGGTGAAGTAGTTGATGAAGTCAACCGCAAAACTTATACAGGAAGTCCCATCAATCCTTTCAGGTTGCTATCTGTCGAAATCTCGAAATGGATTCATACTCTCTTGGCTCCTATCAATTTGTGTCACTTGGAGCACAGCCAAGATATCTGTTTGTTGAGTAAGGGATGAGTATACTGCATAACATTTTACTTAGTTTTCCTTTACCATTAGGAAGCATTGTCTATAAATATAGAAGATTTTCGAAGATTACTAGTGTTTGATCATAAATATCTTTAAAGTGTTTCTCGCGAATGTTGGACCAACAGTTTATGTGAACTCAGGTTAGACCTAAAGTAACAGGTAAAGGTGGCGGTTTGAGTGACGATGTAGTAGATTTTCGTCTACTAAGTGTTGGGATGATCCTGCAAATTTCTCGCAATCGACATGACAAACTCATGAAACATTAAGGTGAATTTCATCCAATCAGCGTGTGATTAGAAGTTATGTTAGAAACATAGCGAAAATGAAAAGTCACATGTAGAGATTCTGATTGGCTGATTAATACACTGCTACTATGTTTAGCAGTATTCTAGAATTTTCAGTAAAACCCAAGGACTTTTAAAATATTATAAAAACCCTATATTTTCTGTACAAAAACGAACCTTGGAGTAAAGTGCTTCCCACATATTTTGTGCCTTTTCTCTCGTCTTCAAGTCGCTGTATAGTTCTAACTTGGGGGTTACGAAATTAGCTTAGGATCCGAATATAGCGTTCAACAACAAGACGCATCACTAAGGTTGTTTGGACATATGTCACTTATGTACAGATCTTGAGTTTAAATATATTGTATTAATTTTATTCTACAAACCCACTTTTTCACTTCTAGTCAGATCGTTTACGTCTAATCTTTTCTACTATCGCTATATTGTTACAAATTCTAATTCTCTGGGAGTTATTTTGTCAATTTCATCACGTTCTGCTTACATATCATTGCAACATGGTCCGAAGCACAGGTATCCAGGTTCTATATTACTTATGATTGACTGAATAATTTTGTTTTGAATATCTAGATACTGATCGACAAAGCCAATACACAAACAAGTAATTCACTATTTTCACTGAGATTAATTTGGAATTTGTATGGAATCCTGAGTAAAAGACCGTGTTGTTAGCGAACTCTTACAGTAACCAACTTTTTCAAACTTTAATTGTTGACTTAGTTTGGATTTAAACTACTGATGCTTTAAGAGCTTCACGTTAAAGTGTAATAATGTAAATTTTCAATTCAGCAGATGTTTATACAAATTAACTGACTGTTCTTGCTAATTCTTGATAACTTTAAAGCGTCTCATCAATATTTTTTGAACATTAATAGTTAAAATTATTAATATTTTGTTACATATTTTATGGGTATCATTCCACAGTTCAGTCAACATAATCCGACTATATGCAAAAACGAAGACATTGAAATCTATAAAGTACGGCGATTAGTTAACATGAGCCAGAAATCAATAAGTATTCTTGACAAATAGTCTTTTACCAGTTTAAATTTATGTTGAGATTTTAACCAACACAATGTTCTATATTATCGAAGTTTTCGCCGATACATTGATGATTATTTAGGCTCTGGGAAAACTAATCATATTATTGATAGAACTTCTCATGTATGCAGAACTGAACATAATCGAAGACTCGTTATTTTTTCTTTCACTATGGGATTAAATTTCACTCATTTCACTCTTCAAAACTTAATCCTAAATGAATATATAATTTACGGTTGTCTGTTGTCACATATGTTCACAAAACATAAAATTTAGTTGGCGTATTTTTTAGCACAATAAGTAACATGGATTTGGCTTAGCATGCATAGTTTGAAAGAAATATGTACATAACCGTTAGTGATATGGTCTAAATAATAAGGGTTTCATAATTAGTTACTTACAATTTTTAAGTAGTATAGTATTTTTAAGGAAATTAAAAACATAAGATGTGTACACCACATAAATAGCCTGCTATCTTGAAATTGTTCTAGCTGGTTTAATTTATGACCCTGGAGAATTTTCTTCTGCATTTAACACCCATCAAGTTGCTAAGTGCATTCATAAACATCTCTGAGTTACAGTTTCAACATTACATTCATCACATTGTACCTTGAATCCGTTGGCCATTCGACAGTTGCATTGAACAATTTCTCGTTTGGTCACATTTCTGTAACCACGGCCACAACACATATTCACACAATTTGATGTCCCCGTATCCTTCAATGTACAAATTCTGTTTACAAGTGAGAAATAAAACAAAATTTTTCAGAAGGTAAATTGACGTAAAAAGAGCACACAATCTCTCAGTACAATCAAAAATTTTGATATTCAAATGTCATTTTTTGGCCCTATCAGATTTATAACAACTTAAGCAACAAGACTTATGGCTTGCTTACTGTTAGTTGTATATACATTTTTCTAGTTAGCCGTTTATCTTAACCTAGTTGAAGGTAGACAGGTTTTAGCTATTTCTATGCGACACGATAGCTTAACTGAACTGTCGTTCAAACTATAACTTTACATATGTCTTTGAGGGACTGAAAGGGAGATAATGCAATAATATAATAGCGTTATAATCCTCTTATCGGTATAATGATTTAAATTTACAGAAATAGGATCTTTTAGAATGCTTGTCATTTGGTTCAGCTGAATTATTTTAATATAATACTCAACCAAATTATTCGCTCGAAATCATGAATACATCTTTGAACCTTTGACAAATTCTAACAATGTGAACTTTAATTTACATTGCACTGTTATTCTGAATTGTGAATATTTTCACCATAAACCTGCTTTCTAGTATAACTAAGTTTCTTTCAATGAACAATTTTACGGGAAATAATACGCGTAGAAACTTATTTACTCACCTATCGTATAGTAGTTAAAAAAAATAGTTCGAAACGTTTTTTTCAAAATTATTTTTATAACTTACCTATCTCGTGTACCAACAGAACCTCTTTGCGGTTCTACATTACAATAATCTGGTGAATGTTCACTAAATACCAATTCTCCAGGTTTTACTACCTCATCGATAAATCCGTTACCAATAAATGTTTTGGCGATTAATTCACCATTTTTGCCTTCTGAAACCTGTTTGGCTGCCTTATTTTTGAGAAAATGAGAATGAAAATATCAATGATAATAGTAAGGATAGATAAAAAGAATATGTGTGACAATTATGTACTCACTCGTTACTAAATTCTTAATGTAATTGAAGGAGTCTTAATGAGAAGCCATCACTGGTACAGTTAAACTATAACAGGCGTCAAACAGTTACTTACTTTGGGCAATCGAAATTCGTCGTTTAATGTTATGAATTCATTAAAGTTAGACACATACAACATTGAACTCCGTCTTATCGGTACAACGGTTAAGCAGCTATCGTGAAACCGAATATCCTCGGTAGGGTCTTGCATACACACAATTGAGGAAACCCATACTAAGATGAAATATGTGTCCTGTATTTCATAGTATTCAATTATTGTCTAACTAATATCAAACAACAATGTAGACTGTCTAGAGAAATAACTATTAATTAGTCATTCTGAAAATTCATGGATAAACAAATAAGAATAAATCTGAAAAACACTAGATTTAATACTGTTAAATGTATTTAACATAGTTTGTTGATTAATGAACATGTGAAATTTATACAAATTAATTTTATATAGTTGAGATCATGAGTCAGTCGAAGCTAAACCACCATGGAAAACCTGGAAGCACTGGACGGCCGTTTCGTCCTATTGTGGGACTCCTCAGCATGGTGGTCTAGCTTCAATTGACTCATAATCTCAACTATATAAAATTACTAAAATCTTCACAAAACCCCCTTCTGAAAATTTATTTTATAGAAAAATTACATTAATTGCTAATATTTTATTTAGACTTACTAAGTATCTCATTTTTAATGCTTTTTGCATTATTTCTGTATCGATTCGTCGAAGTTGACGAAAACAAACACGTTGAGCACAACTACCACTAACTCCATGACATTTACATACTAGTTTTTGATTAGCTTCCATTAACTAAAAAGAAATGATAAAGTTGTCAAATAACATTTGTTGTCCATTTTCTCATTATATAATCAATACTAGTATCATTAAAGAATAATGAATACCCTTCAGCGATGAAAAGTTTGTTACTGTTGATGTAATTTATTAGTACTGTACAATTGTGTTGATAGTTATTTTTATATATAGTAATTTACAGTAAAATACAAAGTTGTTGCGTCATTAACAGTATAAATCACATATTAATATGATAGGTGACATAGAATAAGGTGGGAATAATAATTGTTCACTTGATTAATACGAAGATGAAAAAATGAGTTAATCAGTGAAAACCACAATAAGTTTGATTAGAAAGGATTGTAAGATTGTGGGAGAATAAGAGACCCATCATGTCATTGTTTTGCCATAAAGATCCAGTTTGAATTGATGAATTGTTGAGATCTCAGTTATGAATAACATTTTACTGAGAAACCACTTTATCATTACATATAGCTAACATTACTTAAACAGTTACAAATAGTGATAATGATATTACATATATTTTAAGATTTATGAGAAAATGATTTGAATGGAGGACACACATGGATATATACATTACAATCTTGTTGAGATTAATGCTAGCCGCGTGATTTGAAACTTCGTCACTGCACTTTATAATCAAATGTGTTATCAGTGTGTTTACCAGTCAATTATTTACGGTTACGTTTTGAAATAATTTCTACTACAGAATTCATTGGTGATATGTCTTTTGCTGTGTTGTAGTTTTTATTACATCATGATTGACTTGGCACGTCCGTAGTAAGAAAAACTGCAGAGTACGAAAGGCCCCCCCCCATCATTGATTACTACAGTGTAAATAATAATTTCCACTTCATTTATGTTGGTTGCCAAATGCAAGGTCGAAATTTCAAACGAGAGTGGAGTTTATTCTCACCCAAATAGAGTGAGTGTTGTTAGGTATATAATTTTATATTATTATATTATATTATTGATTGATGGATCCAAATGGAAGAAATAAAGTGTTCAAGTTATATAATTTATTGAACTAATTTTTCTAGCAAATTAGTGATGAAACCAGCTTTTATTATTCTGAAATACGGTACTAGGTTTTCTAAAACAAAATACGTCCTTGTAATTTTGCAGTGCATTCGTTTTCCAATATTCAATGTGCGTCCGATATCAAGTATTTTTAGGTTATTTCCGTTCATTTGACATACAATTGATGTATATAAAAGCATATATTTCACTAAAGATTACAATTCAAGCTGTAACTTCCACTTCATTTTCTCTTTTAATCTGGTTGGTTGTGATGCGTTACAGTGGCGTATTCGTAGAAGACCTATGTAGATATCTTCAATCTATTGAAATAAAAACCCTAAGGAAAGTTATAATCTCATATCTAGTATTCATCCGCTAAATGAATGGAAAAATATTTTGATAACGCTAAATATTACACTTTTCTTGAACACTGACAAATGAATAGATAACCTCATACAATTACCTTGATAATGTTGTCAGTTGTGAGTGGTAGACTGTAGATTATTACAGCTAATGAAATAACATTATGAATTCCATAATATAACTATTGTTTGGTTTTACGTCCTGACTTAAATATAAACATGCTAAATTCTTTTGAATTCTTTTTCTTAGTGGTTCACAGTGAAACAACCCATTATCGGGTACCAGTACATATTTTCGATGAAGGATCAGTTATTGAACGTATTGGTTAGAATTGGTAATAAAAATATCTCAGTAAAAAAAATTTGTTTGATAATGATGACGAGAGGATGCTTTCAAGTATGAACAGTACATTTAGAAAGACAATGTCGGAATGAATATGTTAAATGATCACATTGGTTAGAAAAGATTGATATAAAAGTGAAGAGAAATACTTATATCAAAGAGTAAAGTCAAATTTTTAGTTCTAATGTGACAACTATAGCAAAACTGTGACTGATTCAGTGACAAGATGAGTCGCATAACAACTCAGAAACGTTTTGGCACTGAGTGTATTTAACAAAAAATAATCTGATGTTTCTTTATGTGTTCGGTCAACCAAATATTCTGCAAAGATGGGTACTTTCCATGAGTAATGAGTCAGAATTACTGATTGATCAGAAATTAGTTGAATCCACATTCATAAACCATAAATGAGTGACATAATGATGAATAAAAGAAGACATACCCATCGACTATGGTATACTTATGATTCGTGAACCTGAGGTTCTTTTATGATCAATTCTAGACATGTCCAATTCATCATACCATTCAACCGCAAACTGGTTGGCGAAATTATTAGAACCATTACATCAAGAATTGGTTAAGTACAGCGTTAAAGATGTATTTGAACTTGTGGATGCAATAAAAAAATGAATATAAATAGCGAAACTATATTGTCACTAGTTATAACATCTTTTCTGACTAACATCCCACTGGATAAAACCATTGATTACATCTGTAAACAATTACTAGAAAAGAAAATAGAGATACAGATCCCAATAAATAAAATGAAGGAGCCTCTGTTGAAATCTATGAATATCTACTTTATGTTTAACACTGAGTTTTACAAACAAATAGATGGAGTAGCAATCAGATCAGTTAGATTATTACCATCGATACATAGATGACATAGTAATCTTGTGTGACGAAAGCGTCGACAAACAAGAGCTTTTAAACTGTTTCAGTAACGTCCACCCAACGATTAAATTCACCAGAGAAGAGGAGAACGATAATAGTATAACTATCCTTGATATCATACTTTCTAGGTTCCATAAAAAGAACTGTATTTAAAAAGAACACATGAACGGGTCAGTATACCCATTTCCATGGCTTTACACCTCTTCAACACAAAACAAATTTAGTTCAATGTCTCAGTCACAGGATCAAACCATTATGTTCTGAAGATAGTGTAGATAGAGAAACAGATACATTAAAAAACATGACGAAATGAAAACTATCCAGATAATTTCTTCCGAAAATTCCTACTAGGAGGTATTAAAAAAGAAGAAACTGTGACTCAGTCATTAAAAAAACACTCTATCTAAAACTGGACTTTAAAGGAGACATAGCGGGTGACATTTTAATACATCGACTTACAAGATCTGTTGAAAGGACGTTTCATGCCGCCAATTTCTCCAACAAAACAAGTACTTACACAACAAATCAAGGATAGGTTGTCGATGATGGGCTCCTCCATATATGTAAACTAATTAAACTGCTCCTGTGGAGCTAGTTATGTAGAACGTACACAGAGGGCTTTATCCCTGCGTATTCGTGAACATGAACCAGCATGGTTGGGAAAAGGAGCTACAAAGTCTATTAACTGTAACATTCTTTCTCACTTGGTAGATAGTGAATATCATATTAAAATAGAGGAAACTTTCTTTGTTTTATATCAAGTTCTAAAAATTCTACCTCAAAGAGTTAGATTATGGCTACTTTACATAACCGAAGTCAACTGGATCAACTCCAGAAAACCGAACTTATGTATCCAGAGGAGGTATGTCTAACCTCTATGTTTACTTGACCCACAACTGGATCGCCTGATATCTAGACTGGATATTATAGACCTCTTACCCTCTCCCAATTCCTTTTGTGTTAATATCTTTCTTAATCTCTACATTTATCATTTCCGATTCACGTGCATTCCTTTTTATCGTAATTACCTTGATAACATCACGTTCACACAACAATATTATCATTACCTCGATTAACAAGATGAAATTCTCCTACCAGGCACCTTATTCATACGATTTTATTTCATTTTCACTTAGTGATATTACTATTACTCTGATTGCGACTTGACATTTTACTTCAAATTATTCTAACCTTTAATAAATGACCTTTTTAATTTATAATTAATACAATTTTGAAGAAGGTATATCGTAACAGATGCAAACGTTCACCATGTATAACTGTTATATCGTAGTGAAGATTAAATTACGGGTGACTTCTATGAACTATCAATACACTAGCATCATATATATACTTGTTGTATAACTATTCAGTAACCAGACTATGTATATCTATACTCCTCTTATTACAAACATTATTTGGATCTATAGACTATTATGATACGAATTATTATTCTTAAATTATTCTCAGTTTATTGATCACAGTCTCTCACGTTCACAGCCACTTTTGGCTTGATCTTCTGTAGATGTTAATTTCTATTTTATTATGTGATGTGGTCTATTCAGCTTCTATATAAACCAAGTATATTTGAAATGAATTATTTGCATAGTCGAAGCTGTTATTGATGTTCTGGACTCAAATGGAAGGGCTAAGAGAACAAAGGACCAATAAAGACGCTAGGCTCCCCATACCGGTAGAACGTCATTGGTTTAGTACAGCACTAAGATTGTATAAGTCTCATTTCAATAGGCGAATAAATCACGTGGTAATTAACCGGGCTTAAAGTCACAATAATAACATTGTCAAATTCATTAATAATGGTTTATTTAGGCATTTGTAAAATATCACAATAATTGTGAATTTATAACTGTAGAGCCTGGTGATAAAGTTATTGAAAACAATTGATCGCTCAAATGTTCTTCACTTTTGAAAAGAATTTCCACTGAATAGTCCATTGAATCAATTAGTATACATGTCGCATATTGTGGACTAATATCAATTGTATTCAGTGACACTTCTATGATATCTACGATGGAATCCTTTCAGTTGTTTAGCTAAAGTCAGTTTTCAATTTAAAACTTATTTACGTAAACAACCTTAAACAAAAGACGCTAACCAGAAAAGAATAATGATTTTAAACAACAAGATGCGTAACCTCTGGAATACCTGAATGCTAGGAAGAAAGTAATCAATTTCCTCAATCAGCTGATGCTTGTTTAATTAATCGAATGGGAGTGGAGTCCAGTTCATGTAGGGTGGAGACAATTATCCATCTCAAACAATTAATGAATGGTTGTGAAAAGCCATCGACCAATTAAAGTTAGATATTAACACCATAGGATATCGACTTAGTAATCTAGAGATAAAGCGTTTGTGCGTTA